GACACGAAGGGATTTCCTACCACAGCTTCCTGCAGGTCAAGACACAGAAAATAAGCTCGAGCGCAATTTGGAAAGCTTTTATTATGCCCGGTGCCTTTCAGAAAGGACTTTGCTTCCTCAGGGGCTGATTATCTTTCTCCAGGCATGCCACAAAGACTCTTTCCAGTGCTCCCCCGCCTTATAATGTCACTGTAACAGGGGGTTCTACAACTACGTGAAAGCAGAACAACAGTTCTTTCACAGTGATATGCAGGCTCCCGAAATGCAAGACGGAAGAGTGCGGTGTGAAGAGAAACTTCCACCGCAAGCAACAGCGATCAAGAATCCGCTCCCCCAGGAGGAAATGGTCTTCTGGACCACGTCACCTGGAAGGGAGCCCTTCCCAGCATCTCAGAGCTGCTTGCTGAGTTTCCTCACTTGTCTCTCGCGGGCCTCGAAAGCGATCTTGGCGTCCATCAGCTCGCCCAGGGCTTTGCGCACGGCCTCCATCTCCTGTTCCACCTGCTCGTAGTTCTGGGACAGCTCCTGGTTCTCCCGCTGCAGCTCGGCCAAGATCACCTTGACGTCCTCATTCTGCCGCCGGCACTGGTTCTTGAGCTGCTCGGCTTCCACAAGCAGCCCTTCCACCGTCCTGGCCATGGACTCCATCTGCTCCCGGGACATGGCTGCAAAAGCAAACGCAAGCAGGGAGGCGTGCGAGAAGGCCCTGCTGGACTGACTCTGGGACCGTTCCTGCCCAGCGCTGCACATGTGGCCAGATGTGGAGCCGTAAACTGGGCCTAAGAGCAATTGCTGCTTTCCCTCTCAGGGCGCACCGCGATGGGGACCAGACTTGAGGGCCCAAGCCCATTGCATGCAATGCAAGAATGACCGGTTCCCATTCCTCCTGCTGCTGGACCTTTGTTCTAGAACATTCTCCCCAGATGTGCTCGACCAGGCCCTTGGCTTTCCTGTCTTTCTCTGGCCTCGCTTCAGAGCCAAGGGCTGAGTCGGTTGCCCCAGGGCAGTTTTGGGAACTTAACAGATCTGAGTGGCGTTCCATATCCAGGGAGAGGAGAGGCTAGGCAAGGCTGGACCTTGGCCTTCACCCCAGCGAGGGCTCACTGACACGAGCCCCCTGGAGTTGCTCTTCCCCCTCAGCTCTGCAAGCTGCCGGTTCCCCTGCCTCTCGCTCGGGCCCAGACAAAAGTGGTGGTGGACAGGAGAAGGGGGACAGGTGCTGTGCCCGCCTTGCATCCAACGCTTTGCCAAGCAAGCAAATGGTCGAAATAATGAGAGAGCGGGTGAGGAACAAAAGAAACTGGTGGCCACGGCGGTGATGCGGTGAACCACCAGTGGAGGGAAGTCTATAGAAGGCATCTCGGAGCTTGCACTGGTGGTCCAATGCCCTACTTTATGGAGGAAAGCCTTCTAATCCAAGCCAAGTTTTAAGTCAGAGAACCAGAAGAAGGGGGAGGCAATGCAGGGCCCTTGACATTACCTGTCCGTGGCTAACAGCACCTGGACAGCCAACACACAGCTCACAGGGTTGGCCTGCTGCACATCTCCATTGCTGCTTCAGTTATGGCTGTTTCCCTTCCCTACATTCGCACGCAGACACAGGTGGGGGCCTCTCTCTTTTGCCTTGGCCCACCTAGCCTCCGATGGGCAATGATGACTAGCAGCAGCAGCTGTCCAGAGTTTGGGCCAAGAAGGACAATTTCCAGTTGCCTTCACTTCTTCTCTACAGAGTTGTCTATGGTAGAGCTTGTGAGCCCCTGAATCCAATACTTTTGTTCTACCACTGAGTAACATCCCTTCTCTCCGAGGGTGTTTCTTGCAATCCACAGCAGTCCTTGGAATGGAAACATACTGGAAGCTGGCAAAGTTTTGTTTTGTTTTTTTAAGAACTCAGGTGCCATGAGCAATGGGAACCCTCATTCCCCGGTCAACCACTGCCATCGCTACCCATTGGCCTTTCCCAGTGGCTTTCCAGCAGCTCCCCCATGGACCTCGACTCTGATCTGCCAGGAGATGGGGGTAGTTGTGGCTGAGGGGGAAGAGGGGTGGCCTGGGGCCTCCCCATGTCCTGGGCATGGCCCTCCCGCCCGGGGGAAGCGGCTCCACTCACCTGCTGGGCTGCAGGCGGGCCTGAAGTAACTGTTGAATGGGAAAAAGCCTTCCAGCTTTTCTCCTGGGGTGGATGGGCGCTAGCAACTGAGTCTGGGCGAAGGACGGTCCTCCTGAGTGGTTGAGGGTCACAGGAGGGATGCTTGGCCAGTCAGTTCATCTGTGGGGGCCCTCCCTGCTTTCCCGAAGCTTGTGGATGCCGGTACACAAGGCACACCGAGGTCTGAGCAGAAGGATTAGTGCAAGCTAAATCCAGCAAGCCCTTTTCTGGAAGATTCACTGCCCTGCCTCTTTTGCTGACAAGCTGCCGCCTTCAGCTGCAAGACCAACAGGGAGGAGTGGAAGAGCCTCTGAGCCCTTCCTCCCACCATTTGAATATGCAGATATTTTCATTTCCCAGAAGGCCCCTGTGCCTGGAGAGCTCTCTGTGCAGACCAGGTCAGGCAGGGCAATATCTTCCCCTGCCTGGGGGCAGGAAAGCCTCTTCCCTGGCTGACTTTTCCCCACCTGCAAAATGCGGTGATCTTAGGAGCTCTGAGAAATGCTCCACCCAGGCCAGCCACTTGCATATCACCAAGGAAGAGGACATCTTTCACCCAAAATACAAAAAAGGGCATGCATGTGCATAAACATTTGTATATGTTCATAAGCAGAGGTGCCTGTTTGGAAATCATTGCTAGAACTTAAATAGAAATACAAGACCTTTTCCCATGATGGAAGAAGTTGGGACCAGGTGACCTGCACAGCTCCTCAATTCCTTGCCCTCTTTCAACATTCCCTTCTTAACTGGTTACTCAGCTCAGATTTCGCTGGGAAGCCCTTTAAAAAGAGCCTCAGGTGTTTGGGAGCTCAGCTTCCTGCATTAACGGCTGTTGTCATGCTGGCAAAGGCTCCTGGGATCTGAAGTCCAAACCTTCTGAAGAACTATGCTCTGAAAAAGAGGACCGTCACTCAACAGCCATTCAAATAGCAGAGCGTAAGCTCGAATGAATGGACACTCTAGCCCAGAAAGCCACCCTTTGGCACACGTCCACTGCCATGTTTAAGCTGACTTTAGAGGGCTTCCACGCTCCCCCATGATCATCCACCCCTCACTATCATTGGGTCCTGCTTACACTGGAGTAAAGGCTCAACCAGAACATCTCCAAGTTCCCCTCCACCTTCTGTTACTCTTGCATTTCCTTCCAATTGTTTTCCCTCCATGGAATCCTAGACGGATTCAGGAGCTTCTCCGAATGATCAGCCATGGGCCATGATCTGCCCTGCTTTGCTTGAGAGAAGCTGCCAGCCTGTGCGCAGTCTGGCCATGCCACGTCCTTCGTCCGTCCGTCTCCCTGGACGATGCCAGCTTTTTTCCTGCATGCTGGGGAAATACTTCCTTAAAGAAAAGACAATGCCTTCCTCTTGGGAGGCCTTGTGTTCCCAATTCTGGGGTGGGGAAGACTCTGTGCAGTCCTACCACCCCTTTTCCAGCTTCCCTCCCTCGAGGGAGAGCTAGACTTATGCTCCAGAGCCTTGAAAGCACCCTTTGGTAATCTCAGTGCCCTAACTTCTTTGCTGGCATCCTTACAATCTCATTATCTCTGGCCATAAAAAGAGAATGTATGGAGAGCGCCGTCAGCCAGCAAAGAGTCACTCTCTGCTTCCCCGCGCCTTTTCCACTCAGCAAAGTAATAGCTCCATCTATTTGAATTTATGTCTGTGGAAAAGCACCCCATCAGGGGCTGCCCCTGGGATTCTCCGGCAACCAGCGGGGTGTATATTAATTTCTATGAGCCGTAAAAGTGGGGCGGGGAACGAATCTGCACAAATGTCGCCACACTTTGGGGACTGTGGCACAGTGACAATGGGGAGCAAGCTGCAGGAGCCCCACAGCCCAGTGGGCTGTGCAGGACCCCCGAAGAGCGGCAGGCCAGGAGCAACTGTCACTCTAGCCATGCTCATGAGACACTTTGAGTTTGAACGGCAGAGCTGCACATGCTCAGAGGTGGCTTGGGTTGTGTTTTTACCAAACTTGCAAAGCAGGGTGGTGGTTGTCTGTGAGAACCACCATCTTGCAAACGGGTACACAAAGCAGGAAACGGGTACCTCAGAGCCTGAGAGGCACGCCGGGCACAAAGATGGAGCCCCAGTCGGGGCAGGAGGAGGAGGTCGTATCTTCGCTGGGAGCCTCGTCTCCGTCCCTCAGGGGATGCCCAGACGCGTGGCAGAGGGGCCTTTCCCGGCACTCTTTCGCCGTGCCCGGCAGAGGAGGCCCACGTCACCTGTGCCGCCCCCGCCACTGCAGCTTTTCCTTTGGGTTTTCGAGCACCTTTGGGAAGCTGTCAGGGTGCCACCGCGGAGCTCCACAAGCGCCCCCGGGCAGCAGAACGGGGCACCCGTGTGGGGACGTCCATGCCTGTGTGGGTCAACACGTTGCCACAGGCGCTCATTGCCTCAGGTGCGCCACTGTGTGCATGTGTGTTGGTGTGTGCTTGAGCACGCGTGGCAGCGCAGGGGCCCACGGAAGGCGCGGCCCAAAGGCCCCGTCCGAGCGGCAGCCCCCGCGGACCCTCACTGTCCGCGCCACTGCTCTGTGGGGACAACCAGGGGCTCCTTTCCGTGCCCCGTGCCCTCGGGCCGAGCGAGAGGCTGCAAAGGCTGATGGGAATCCCGCTGCCCCTCCTCCCTGTTGCCTAGCGACCACGAGGAGCGTGACAGCACCGCTGCCTTCACATTGCCTAGCAACCACCACAAAGGGCCCCTTCGCATTGCCGGGCAGCTGCGAGAAGAGGCTCAGGGCTGCCTAGCAACCCCCCGTCGCCTAGCAACACCCACCGGTCAAAACGAGGCCTAGTGCTTCCATCAGCCGGCGGGGGAGGGGGGATGAAAAATGGATTCTCACCCCAAGCCCAAGTCCTGAAGAGAGTTTTATTGGCTCCAAGCACGGCGTGGGTGGGTGCATCTGTCACAAAATCTGATTTAATTTTGGGTCTGGTGGTCGGAAAACAATATGGCAAATAAAGGACACTAGGCATTCAGACACCCCCAGAGGTGGTGACGATCCCGCCATGGAGACCTCTGGCTCCTCCCGTGAGCTATTCGTAGCGGTGCTTGCGCCTCTTGGCCGCAGATCGGATCATGGCGGCGGCCACGCCCATCATGCCGATCGTCCCCACGGCGATGGCCTCCGTGACCTGCCCAAAGGGGAGAGAGGGAGAGCCTGTTGAAGCCTTGCACGGGAGCAGCGACAGCAGGTAGAATTGGGCCCATTTCACAGATGGGCCGGGCAAAAGACTGAGGCTGCACTGAGCGTGGCTACCCTAAGGCCTCCAGGTGAGGCTAAGGCGACCCTTGGACTTTGCAGGGCATGCTGGTCCAGCTCTTCCAACACATTTGCCTCTAAGTATGCCTGTGTTGCCCATGCTCCAACGACTCTCTTCCCCAGCTGCCACGAGCGAGCTGGGTTTCGTATTTCTTCAAATACCTGCAAAGGCCCATTTATCCAGGGATAACAGCAAGAGAAGATAAATGCAATGCACAGAGGGGGGAACGACACCCCTCTGGCACGCGTCTCCCTTTTTTAGGAAAAGGTAGGCCTACCCCAGCCCGGAAGCAGCCGCTCACGGGCTGTGAGCCAGGGGGCCCTGGCGCAAAGTCGCTTCTCTTGGTGAAAGTTTCCCGGCTGTCGCAGGGCATATGCCAAGATCTTCAGGAGCTCTCCAAGGTGCTGAACTGCCTCCCCAAAAGCGTTTCAGCTCCATGCACTGCCACAGATACTCAGCCTCCCTGCCTCTGAGGGCCCCCAGGAGCTGGTGCCTCAAATCTCTCCTTCAGAGCCCTGGGTCTTGGAAGCTGCCTGCCCCCATACTTTGCTGAAAAAATGTTTCGGGGTCCTGAGACCTCTCTGCAGCTGATGCCTCAGATTAGCTGGCTTTTTGCCCCCGTGAGCTTTCCTCTTGCTGTCTTCTGGGACGTCCAGGGCTTTTGGGGTGCAATCAATTTCCCCCCAGACCCATATTAAGCATCTCTTTTTTGGTAACACAGCCATCCATAGAGGGGCAGGTTTTCAAAAGACACACAGGGAGTGACTTCAGAGCAGATCTAAAGGTGTGTCATTTTTGCCCTGGGGGATCTGCATCTCAGACCATTAAAAACAAAACAAAACAAAGAACACCTAGCACTGCCTCTGTAGAGCAGAATCCCTGCATGTTCCCAGGGGTCAGACTAGATGACCTCGCAGATCATCCATGTCACATACTGGAGCGATGCCCACACATCTCCAAACCACATGCCCACACCTGGTCACTCATGGCAACTCCATATCGCAATTCCATCACAAAGTGCTCGCAGTTGTGGCTGGTCAGATTGTAGGGCATCTCCCGGCCCACCAGCTCCTCCGCCCTCTGGAGGATCTTCGCGAGCGGCAGCGGGGGGTGCGTGTGGTCATGCTTGTTGTTCACTCGGAACTGGTCCTTGCGCACCACGACCTCCAGCCAGTCTTTCTTCACGTAGGCTCTGTCGGACAAAACCGCCAATACGCTGGCGGCACCGTTAGCAAGATGGTCACCTTTGTGGGGAGAGAGAGAACGAGAGCACGAGAAGGTGAAACACACACACACCTCAACATTCATCGACCCATCAGCCAGAAAAAAACTGTAGGGCTTCAAGGAGATTGTTTAGGAGTTCCGTGTTTATTTTCCAGCATTGCTGGGTTGGAGATGATGGTGTTTTAGGGTCCCTTCTGCAACCCCCCAAAACTTGGAGCTTGGCCAAGGGGCTTCCTTGGAAACTTACATTCAGGGGCTAGGTGGACAACTTTTCCTTCTCCGACGTAGATGGCCCAGTGTTGGTAGCATGAGCGAAAGATCTCAATCAGGTCTCCTTGCTTGATTTCATCCTATAAGAAAAGGGGTGCAAAAAGAGTCCCCCTTAGCTAAGAGCTAAGAGGCAGCTTTGGACCTTCTCCCCACAGGTTTTCTGGCATGGGTGCAGGGCCATGGGTTGTGAGTTCCCCGAGGACAAACACACATCTGACCGAATGTGGTTGTTTCTCTAGAAATGGAATGCGAGACATTTACATTCTGCCCTGTAAAACACCATTCATGATTCATCATTCTAGTTCTTTCAAAATTCATAACACACCTTGAATAATTAAAAAACATTTTAAAAAGGTTAAAAATAGATAAGACCAACAAGATTATAATAGTTGGTTTTAGTGGTAACTATTTTAATTGACTCTACTCCTGGTTTATAGTTGGCTTTAGTTTGAATTGTTTTGTTCAAAGTTTTTATGTAACATTTTGATTTTGTTGGATTATGTTTTATAGTTCAGATATGTTATAAATGGTTGTGTTTTATAGATTTTAGGATGTTATGCTGTTTTAATTGTTGCAAGCCACACACAGAGCCCAAATATGGACTACTGCAGGGGCATATACATTGAAATAATAAATAAAGAATAATAAAGAATACATTTTGCAATAATTCAAAAGGCCTCAACACACTAACAGAGTTCCAAAATTCTACAACTTCTGGGGGAAGAGAAAGGTCTTCCTGCAGAACCAGAAGGAGAACTGGGTGGGTACCAGGCAAGACTCTGGGATGTGGCTATTCCATAAAAGGGGTGGGGGACACAACTGAGAAGACCCCAACATTAGCAGCCAGCCTCTTAACTTTGGTCAATGGGGAATCCAGAGGAGGGCCTCTGAAAATAACCTTCAGAATATTAATAGTGCAATATAACAATAAATTATCATCATAATTGCAATGATATTTTAAGTAATCCTATTAGCTATATTAATAATATCAATGATATCAGTATAGTATATAATATTATATTATTATTATTATTATTATTGTTATTGTTATTGTTATTATTATTATTATTTTAACCATGCTCCTTGCATGGTTTACAACAGCAGGTATAAAAGAAAGATGACTTTTCTTTCAATCAGGGGCCAAGGTGGGGTGGCCACAGACTGCGCAAAATCGCCCCCCTTTTCTTTAAAATACAGAAATGGACTTACGGATATCCCTAGCAATGAATACGTGTTTAATGCATGCAGCATTACATGGGCTGGACATCAACCCAAATGGATCAAGTAGCTGAATAAATATCCATCCGAAAGCGGCACCTGCGGCATATCGAAACTGTTGCAAGGTCCACAGCCTCTTGCATTATCGGAGAGAAGCATTTATCCTTCCATGTCTAAGATCAGTCTTTTAGCTGTCAAAAGGGTTCAAAGAATCCATTTCTCCTCCATCTGTTAACTTCCATGAAGCTTTTAAATGAGTTCAAAGCGCGTGTGCACAGATTGTTCCAGTACGAAATGTGTCTGTGGCAGAACCTCCTCTCCTCCCAAGACGCAGCTCCCGGACATGGCCAAAACGTTCACTTCACTGCATTGTATCACCAGCCATCAGCCAAATTAGATAATTCTGTGCTAAGGAGACATTGTGCAGTCTAACAGACTTGACACAACAGTTGTTGCTGAATAGTGCATAATCCAGAGACATGTCACAGGGACTTCAAAGCTGAAATCCGCTGAATTTGGGGTGGTGCCCGCTGCAGTTGTTCAAATTCTCAAATCTGTCCATGGGTCAATAAAGGTTGGGAACTCACTCTTTAGATTCTCTGGCCTCGGGCTGTTCGGAGCCTTAAAGTTCAACACAATCTCTTTGTGCAGGGCTCAAAAGCAAACAGGAAGCCAGTGCAACTGAAGAAACACAGTGTCACATAACTGTAATTATGTAAACTGTAATTATTTGTGAGCCGCCCTGAGGCGTTGTTGCGATGTGGGTGGCGTAGAAATGTTTTAAATAAATAAATAAATAAATAAATAATTGATCAGCTCCAGTTCTGGACTAATCGGAGTCTCCAAACTGGGTCCGGATAGAGTCACAGCTAAAATATTTGGTTTATTTAATATTTTCCCCACATTTCCACACCATAGCAGGAGCTCTTGAGGTGGTTCACAACACTTCGGTGCTGTTTTGTTAAGCTGTCACCAAAATAAAGCAACAGGTTTGAATCTGTGTTAGGCTGGAGTTTCAGAACCATGGCTGGCTCCTTAAACAACGATCCACAGCCCTGCCACCGGCTTTCATTGTCAATGTCATTTTAAAACTATGGGATTGCAGCCCTGTTTGAGTTTTAAGTGTCAGGTTCTGTTCAATAATAGTCGGGGCTTTGATGGCTTTATTGGGTGATGCCTCTTCTGAGTTGTCCTGAGAGTTTCGTTAGCTCGTTTTACTCTGTCGCTACAGCTTGGGCGATTTCATGGATTGTGTTTCAGAAATGTGTTTCCAGTGCTGCTTTGCATTGCTTGTTCATTATCCAGATATATGTTGAATTATCTTGAGAACCCTCCAAATGTCAAGGCCAGAGGGGAAATGCAAAGCAAATATTAAACAGCTGTGCTTTGACCGGTTCACCGTGCTCCAGATTCCAACTGCAAATGTTTTTCTCCCACAAGCTGCAGGAAAGTCACCACATTTCCAAAGGGAGAAGCTAGTTTCTTAGTGGATACCAACTCAAAAGCAGGCAGCAATCTGAGAGAGCCAGTGTGGGGTAGCAGTGAAGAGCGCGGGACTGGGACTCGGGGGACCTGGGTTCAAGTCCCTGCTCAGCCATGGAGCCGACTGGGTGACTCTGGGCCAGTCCCAGCCTCTCAGCCCACAGGGTTGTTGTTGGGAGGGTTAGAGTGTTAGCAGGAGGCCAATAATGATGCAAGATGTCTCTAGTCGCTTGAAAAGGCAAAAGGAGGGATATATATACAAAAAATGAATAGGATAAATGAATAACCAATCAGTGGACCACTTTGAAGGGCCTTTGTGAATGCTAAATATGATTGGGTAAACATTTTATTTATTTTTCAATTTATATCCTACCTTTTACCTGCAAAGGGCTCAAGCCAGCTTACATCCTCCTCCATCTTATCCCCACAACAACAACCCTGTGAGGTAGGTTGGGCTGAGCGTCCATGACTGGCCCGAAGTCACCCAGCTGGCTCCATGGCTGAGCGGGGACTCGAACCCGGATCCCCTGAGTCCCAGTCCCAGGCTCTTCACCATGACGCCACATTGGCTCTCAAACATGACCCTGGAAGAGACCCAGTGAGGAGAACCCCTTGGACTCTCTTCTTCTGGTGCAAATCTCCTGTTTGTAAGCCTCTACCGCTGGCCCAGACAAGGGGGCGGCAAGAAGAAAAGTGGGAGCTGCCACGACCAACTTGCTCCTGAGTTTTTTGCTTGCCTACCAAGAAAGTGGGGGCCACAATGAGGAAGATTACGGAGAGCTGACGCAGCTGAGGAAGGTTACGAAGAGAAGGAGCCCGTGTGTGGAATGCCTGGGATAAGCAATGCCCTTCCATTTCAGGTATTTAAATTCTGAGAATCTGGAGAAGAGGAGAGAAATGAACCTGCCCCAGAATTATTTTCCAAGGACAGGACCCCCACTTTCCTGAATATGAAATGTCCTGGATAAATAGAATTCACCCTGACTTCTGCACTTCCTGGAGCAGGGGAAAATGTAGCAGAAAGCTATTGCAAGACTATCATGTGGTTTAAGATTAGTGATGGCTCCAAAATTGCAGAGGTCTGGAACTGAGGCAGTCCAGATCTTAGAAAACTAACATCCTATATCTGGAAGGGGCCTTGGAGGAACGTGGTCCATCCCCTGTTAAAGGCACACAGCCTGCAACCAGACAACCGCTGCTTAAATCTTTCCAGGAATGGACAACACTTGTCTTCTGAGGCTAACTTCACTTCCACCAAACAACTCTTACCATTAATAACTTTCTCCTAATAGAGCTAATTTCCCTTCCTATCCTGTTTGCACACAGTCCTAGACCTGATGGTGTGCAGGGCCTTCTCTGTGATGGCACCTTGAGTTTGGAACGCCTTTCTCCAAATAACTATCCAAGTGCTTCTACTGTGAATATTTGGAGGCCAAGTTTTTCAAACTCATTTTTCCTTCTCCCCAAACACTCAGTATTATGAACATTATTAGTAAGTTGGAACTTATTAAACCATCTTTGTTTAATAGGACAATAGAAGCCTTTTCTCTCATTACCATTAACCATTCCATTAAATTGCTGTGGGGCAGGAGACCTGTATGGAAGTGGGAAAACTTGCATATTTCTGCACTGCCAGTAAATTAATTCCTAAAGCACTTCGAGGGAAGCAGTGATGGGCCTATTACCTAAGCCTTACCTGGGAAGGCCTTTGCAATTTGTACATTAATTTTCTAAAGATAGCAAGTTTTAAATTATGGAGGGTGGAAGGAACGCCTACCTTAATAACCACCACTCTGGATTAATTTTCTGAGGGAAGCTTCTTTAATATTCAGTGATGCACAAGTCCTTCTTAACATATCTAACCGTCTCTTGGAAGTCAACGCAAATGGATTCTGCACCCGCTTATGACAGCTAAAAGACTCGCACTACAACATGGGAAAAATTATTGGCCTCCTGCAATAACAGAACAGGCCGAGAATTTAATGAAACTTTTGATTTTTGAGCAGGCGGTCTTGAGGAGCAATTCATGAACGGACAAACAGATGGACATCGGGGCTAACTTTGATGAAATTTATGGATAATCACCTTCATCTTGCTACGTATAAACTATGCTGAGATACATAATGCAAACATAAGGAGTGTTCTGGATAACATTAAACTGTGTGCTCAGTTTTATGCATGAAAACAATCATTTGATTTGATTTTGTTGGGCCTTTTCGCTGTTATTGGCGAGGCTTTGTTTTGAAGCAATTATCATCCTCATCATGCTATTTCAATCCCACCATTTCTCCTGTTGCGACAATAGATAGATTAAAAAAATAGCTGCTGCTATTAAAGCACGTAGAAAAGCAATAGCAGGAACCAGAAATGAGATTAGCTGCAGGGAAAGGGAGGAAGAAGCAGCCGCATCCCTCCACCGTGGGCTCTACCTTTGCCGATGGTCCACCATTCCCCCAGAAAGGTTATACACTCGTGTGCATTTTGCTTTCCAGCAGAGGTTCAATGCAGCACCATGTGAATTCTCCACAGCAGCAGGGGACCCAACAAGAGCATCCAGAGAGAGAGAATGAGAGAGAGAGGCTGCCAGGATGTAGAACCAGGCCTTGAGTAGATCCACGCACACACCTGCTCATGCATTTCAGCTCCGTAACGAAGCTCCATCACAAAATGCTCACAGTTGTGGCTGTTCCAGGCACAGGGCATCTCCTTTCCCACCAGCTCCTCCGCCTGCCAGAGGATCTTGGCCAGGGGGAGCGGCGGGTGCCTCTCGTCATGCTTATTGTTCACTCGGAACCGGTCCTTCTGCACGACGTTGTCCAGCCAGTCCTTCTTGACGTACGCTCGGTTGGACAAGACCGCCAAGGTGTTGGGAGGTCCACCTGCAAGATGGTCACCTTGGAAGGAGAAGAGAAGAGAAGATGCAGGCCAGTTGAAGAGGCGGGTAAGTCGGATGAGTTATGGATGCGCTTCGTTTTACAGGATGTAACCCAGGTTTGGCTGCACGCATGTCCTACTTGTGGGATCCTGTGAGTAGCTAGTTGGCCACTGCAGGAACAGAAAACTGGACTCAGTAGATCTTGGGTGTGATCCAGCAGAACTCTCCTGAGGTTCTTCAGGACTTTGTCACACAGGGCCGTGGAATGGAGTACCACAAGATGCCGTGCTCGCACCCATTTGGATGGTCCTCCTGGACCAATTCATGGAGGAAGAGAAGAAGGCTTCTCAGTCCTCATAGCTATAGTCTCCTGCTATCAGCACTGGCTGCTGTGGAACATGGGTGAGAGGATGCTATTGCATCCAAGCCCAGCTTGCAGATTTCCCTTGAGCAGCTGGCTTGGGCACTGTGGGAAAAGACTGCAGCCCTAAGATGCTCCAATCCAGCTTTTCTTATGTTCTTATATTCTAGCCAGTTGAAAGGCTACCATATTTTCCTGGGCATCCTGGACTTTAAATGGCTTGCAAGCTGCCCAGGAAGCTTGGGTGATTGGGCAGATTTGAAATATAACAGCCAAGCAGGCCGACGTGCCGCAGCTCTTGGACACTTACGTTCTGTTGCCAAATGGACAACTTTTCGATCCCCAACGTAGATGGCCCAGTGTTGACAAGAAGAACGGAAGATTTCAATGAGGTCCCCAGGTTTTAATTCATCCTAGGAGAAACAAGAGCAAAGGTCTGATGATTGCTCTAAGGTAGGCCAGAGCTTTTATGCCTTGTTCGATGCATGGATGTGTGCTTAACCCTGTCCTGTGTTGGGGAAAGGTACACAGCAGAGAAGCACTGACTGGGTTGTTCTGAAATATGGGTTAAAACATGGGTTATACGCTGTCTGAACCCAGCCATGATTTCGAGTCACGGCTTTGTAGCCACAAACAAGCCATGAAAAAGCCCGTGGTCTGTGTCTGGATGGTGGATTGTTCACCATGGCTTGTTCTGTCTGGACTGAATTCAGACAACAAGAGAGCCCATGTTTCAGCAGCAGCCTAGCTTCCAGGCACAACCCACACTCTGCCCTTGAGCGTGTGTTATTGCATTGTCCAAAACCAGTTATCTCTTTTGTAGTTGGTGGAGGCTACAAAGAAAAGGTTCAGCTTCCAGAAATATGGGCTACTTCTCCAAGATGGCAACCAGTTCCTGGTTCTGAAAACCAGTTTAAAAATGTGTTCTTTCTTCAGGGCATGGCCCATCAAGGCAGACAAGCCGAGATGAATCCCTGGTACCTCATAAGAACATGAGAAGATCGCTGCGGATCTGACCAGGAATCCCTTTAGTCCAGCCTTTGTTCACACAGTGGCCAATCAGAGGCCTACAAGCAACAGCACCTCCCACCCATGTTCCCCAGCACCTGGTATCCATAGGCCAATGGTCTATCGCAGAACCATGATAACTGGTGACCACGGATCGCCTTCTCCTTCCCAAACCAGTCCAAAATGGTGGCCATCACTAAATCTCTCAAAATGAATTCCGTAATTTAACGTTGCACCTTGCCAAGAAGGATTTTCCTTCCCTCAGACCAATGAACCTCCCATTGGTCAGGCATGTTTCTTTGATTCACATCCCGCTTTTTTCTCAATGAACTCAAAGCAGCTTACCTCATTCTCCACCTCCTCTCCATCTTACCCCCACAACAACAACCCTGTGAGGGAGGCTGGGCTGAGAGTCTGGGACTGGCCCAAAGTCACCCAGCTGGCTCCATGGTCAAGGGGGAATTCGAACCCGGGTCGGCTGAGTCCCAGTCCTGCATTCCTCACCACACACCACCACAGACACGGGCTTTCCTGATTCTTCACACAAGCCCTCTGGGTTGTAGCATTATGAGGAACCAAGAAAAAACATCACTCTGCAATGTTGGTACACCGCTATCAGCACTTTTTTCGACTCCACAATGACTGTTTTTAGGTGCTATGGCCAGAAATGTACACAAAATGTGTGGGAAGCAGATGCCCCCTAGATTGGCAGTTTTCCATTTTCAACTCTGCTCTTCCTTCGGCCCGCCATGGAAGTGGCCCTTCTCACAGTCACGCACTGGATCAGTTTCCGCACAACTTGACCTCTGGCAGCGCATCTTCTAAATCGGCCAAGTTTCGCTCTAGTTCTACCCTGACCTGCCAGCTTCTGTTCTATTTATACCCTGCGGGGTCAAGTCCTTTGGAAATCAAAACCCGGGAAACCACACTGCTTCTGGATGGGTGGAAGCCGAACTTTTCAGAATGGCACTGCAGGGAGAAAGCCGCCCTGGGCCTTATTCCAGGCACGGCACTGCTGCATCAAAAAGCCACATCTGGCCAGATTCTCTCTGTTATGCCACTCCAAAAGGTACAGAAATTTTCCCCAAAATTAGGTCAAGTCCACGAATATTGCAGTCTGGGGGTTTGGTTTGTGGCAGGGTGCCATCTGCTGTCATTTTCAGGCACTGCAGGAGATCAGGGGAAGAGAAAATAAGAGAATACGCTGATCCTCCTTTTTCATTCATCTTTCTTCCCAACAAGCCGGTGCAATGGGCATAGTAATCTTCTCATATATCCACACACTTGATGTTCACAACAACCCTGTGAGTTTGGGCAGGCTGAAAAAAATGTACCGGTTTCAGTGTTACCTGATCAATTTCACATCTAAGCAGGAATATTAATTCAAAGCTCCCTAAAGACTGACATTTTCTTGATTAATTCAGAGGTTAGAAAATATGGGCATGTAAGACCTGGTGCTATCTGACACTTTTCCAAATGTTGCAGCACAGTTTGCAATGTTTTAAGCGCAAAAATAATTCTAATGCGCACAGACCAAAAGGAGCCCTTGCAAAAATGCATCATGAGGAACATGTATAGATTGTTTCTGTTGTGAGAATTACATGCAGATGTTTGTATGACTCTTCACAGGGACTTAAAAATAAACTGATGAGAAAACAAGATAGAACAAACTCCCTGTTGGGAAAAAGGAGAAACTGAGCAAAAGCAAACTTAACATTTTTGCAAACGAATGCAGAAATGGGTGGGAACAAACTCCAGTGGGGGGAAATGAGAAATTGAGTGAAATTGAATTTGACATATTTAGCCAACCTTAGAAGGACTGGGGAGTTGGCAAGCTGTTAGAAGACAGCACTGTGTCTTCAAAGTTACCCTCTCTCTCTAGCATCTCTCAAGCTTGCCTGCTACCCTCTGAATCAAGGAAGGCTGTTCTCGTCGCCAAGGTCAAAGCAAAATTCAGCTCTCCGTCGGATCAGCTTCAGCACACAGAGGTCCCTGCCCTGCTCAGCTCGATGTTCCCAGGAGAGCCAATTTGCAGCACTTATATTTACTAGAAAGGCAAGGTGATGGTCAAAGTCAAGCCAGCAAAGCAAGATCAGGCCAGGAAGAGTTCATCAGAACCCTGGAAGGAGCTAAGCTAGCAGAGCTCGCTCAGAAAGAGTCATTGTCTCAGCAGCATGCAGAGGCCTTTATGCGAGAGGAGCCGGTCTTTTTTTCCACCCCTCTCTGTCTGGATCTTCAAGTGGTTTTGCAGCTCCTCCAGGATGATGTGGTGAAGATGACACTGGAGCAGGTTGACCTCTGAGCCTGAAGAGTCTGGCAAACCCACATTGGGCACCCTCCAACATCCCAGGGCGCCAGAAGATAATTCACTGGAAGAGGCCATCTCCAGCTCAGAGCCCTTCTCAGCGCCAGAGAGGGGACCACGTCCAGAACACATAACGGCACCCTCCTGCTCCTCACTTCAGGTGGCCACAGGTCTTGAGGTGGGCCTCTCCCCCTCCCACTCTGCCCAGGTAGGATAGAGCCCACCACCATGAAAGGTCTTTCCCCAGACCACTCCCGGGGGCCACCTACCCGCTCAGCAGGGTTCTTCACCCTGATGAAGAATGCTGAGTGGTTCCGCTCCTCGTCGTTCATCTTCACTAGGCTCCGAGTGATATTCTCAGTATTGGCTTCCTATTGGCATAGCTGGAAGTAAATCACAGTTGGGGTAAACCACGAAGGTACATTCTTGTGATGAGCCATCACCTTCCCTTCCCATAAGCCCCCTGGATGATGAGTTCTTTAACAAGAGCCTGCAGCCTAGAGGACCTGCCCTTTCCAGAACATCACTCCATCCATTTATGGACAGAGGGAACTAGTGCTCAGTGAGGTGGTCACATTTGCAGATCTGAGTGGTGCTACTGTAGTGAGGGCTTGATTGCTCCTCTCTACCATCCTGGGACGTTTCATAGAGGACGGGGTATAAATTTTGTTAATTAATTTATTAATTAATTGCCAAAACAATAACTAACCATGATTCCCCATGCGTCAAAAAGCAGGCACATGGGTTTCATGGCTGAGCTAAGAAATTTACCCCTGAACTGTTTGCTTTCTGCTTGCGGGGGATTTGGGAGGCAGTGAGTACATTGACATGGCTTCTCATCTTCTTCTTCTCACTACCCTTGTCTGGAAGAGAACTGGGAAGGAGAGGAGCCATTTCGGGGGGCTTTTCCCAGTGGGCCCCCTACTGGTCTCAGAATCTGGGCACGTGGACCAGCTATGCCTACCATTTTCACCAACCCTCCCCCAAGCCACCCACAAAAATAATCTCCAACTACCAGCATGAACTGGTAATAGTTTAATTCCATATTAACTGAGCCAAAATCTTTTGGGAGAGAACTTCCTGAGAAATACTCTATGTATTTACTCTCTGCCCCCTTGAAACTCTTGAAGAATTCCACACACACACAGGAGAATATTTGGCCAACCCCAGATCACCTCCATCTCAATTCATCGCCTGCTACTCGGGTGAAGGACTTTCGGGATGCCTTTTTCACTCAGCCCAACTTTTCCCACATGTAAATTCTGCTCAGTCAAACCAAAATTCACAGGATCTGTGATTTATTTGTTCTTTAAGTCAGGCATCAGCACAAAGTACAAAGTTTTCCTTTCACCCTGAATCTCGAAGGAGGCATCTGGAATTGTCAACAGTGCCATAAAGCAGAACTTTGAGGGATCTTCCAGGCCCCCTCGGGCAGAACAAGGCTCCGCTTATCAGGTTTCCGGGGACAGGAAGGAAAACAACCAACCATCTAAAGGATGAAGGACTTTCAAGTCCAGAATCCCCAACCCCTTACTGTACCACTGACCAATGGGTCATGGAACAGCGCTCTTTTCCCCCAAAACTGTCTCCCCTTCCCCACCAAACTCACAGTCTCGAGGTCAAGCCAGACAAGAAACAATAAAAGACATGTCCAGGTGTCGGGGTACCAGGGCAGGGACTGCGAGACCCTCAGTCTGACCTCACTGAGAGCTTTCACCAGGCCATTGTTCTCTCAAACTTGGCTGCCCTAACAAGGGATAATAATCCAGGCCTACTTTACAGGGTCGTAAGCAAGACAATTGGTACTGGAGGTGCTAGATGGGCCCACCGGACCCAAAATGGCCTTTGCTGATTTAAACATGCCGGAAAGCATCCTCTCCTTTAAGGACACCCCATTTGTAAAAAGAAAAAGGTTCTGTTTGATTTCGGCCGGGAAAAACTCAAGTGGGCAGCAGGAGGTGAAGCAGTTGTGGGCTTGAAAGCCAGCTCGTTTGGGGGATACGATGCAACAGCTTTATTTGCAATTTTATTTCGACAAGTGCTTGGACCACAGCTTGGAAAGGCAAACAGCCCCCAGGGCTTTGGGGATCTGAATGAAAACGGGGGTTTTGCTCGCGAAATATCTGAAGAAGGCTTTGGCGTCCAAATGCTACTGTTTTATAATATTATCGCCACCATCGTTTCTTCGCTACAAATAGTTTTCAGCACAGTCAAAACAGATGTCTCCGTTTCGGACAGGCTATTTTGAAACTAGGATGCCCCCAGGGTAGAAACCAGGATGCCCCCAGGGTAGAAAATTGTCAAAAGGGGGGAATTAACACTGGCCTTTTAAAGCAATGAGCAACTTGTTTATTAGCTATTAATGGCTGCTATTGTCCGTCATCAACCATCTGTCCTCCTTTTTTAAACACACCTTCCGGGGTGTTTAAATTTTTATTTTTAAAGACAAAAAGAATAAAGGAAAAGTAACATGAAAAAGACACCAAGGGACCTAAAAATTTAAATATCCTGCAAGTGCAAGAAATCACACAAAAAGTCAATAATTATTATTACTTGATCAATTTTGTAACTACAGCTTTGACTTAATACTTGGTTATTGCAAAAAGGCTTCATGTGGATATTGACTAAATAATAATTCACACCTTATAACATATCCACAAACCCGCCAGCAATTAATAATTGGATTTCCCCCTTCTTTTCCCAGAAATAAGAAATATCATAGCCCTCTTCCTGGTTTTGCAAATCAATTAAATGACCCACATTTTGAAGGTGCTATGTACTGTATTTATAATAATAAAAATAATAGCATAATAGAAAAAGAAAGTGTGGCGTATGTCCATCCATCCATCATTGATACATTTCCAAGACCATGAAACGTGGATACCTGAATCTTGCTGTGCGGGTGAACAGGACCCTCTGGGGTGTACAACCTGAGGTCCTTTGTTTTAAACATTAATTCAGGAATTTAAATGGAATTGTTATGATAGGAACCCACAGGAGCATCTTCTGTCTCTAGGGGGCAGGCTTCCGAAACCGGCACGTAGCTTTGCCGTCGTTCGAAGACAGATTTGTAACTTGGTCCATTGGAGTTGAGCATGGGAACAGAGAAGGCGGACCCTCAATTCCCGCTCACATGAGCCCAGGTCTGCTTGCTAATATACAATGTAAAATACATTCCAGCATTACTTTTATCATGCAGGGATAGTTAACCTGCACCCTGTTGGAGTTCAGTTCCCACCATCCTAAACTCTGCGCATCAGCCATATTGGCTGGGGCTGGTGGAACCTGGAATCCAACAATCTCCAGAACAACACACGTTCCCTTCAGCCCTCTTTTCGTGGACTCAGGAGAGATGCGAAGTGAGTCACCAGGATTCCAAAGCAACAACATCAGTATTTGTCCAACATACACTTTTCAGGGATTGTGTTCCACCCACTGGAAGGAATCTGGCACACGCCCCCAACTGGCACCAATCAAGGAGGAAAACTCAAAGGCAGAACCACCCTCCCATAACGTCTCAAACTCTGCGTACCTGCAACGGGACTCTCGCTATTTTCCTGAGGCGAATGCATCAGCCTCCCATTTTCTACCTGGTGCTTGGAGTGACATCACAGGGAAAATGTTACCTCACCTGTAACTAAGTGACTCTTAAAAACTCTTGAGAAACAGAGAGGGAAATCTGGCAAGGAGTGGGCAGGTGGCCAGTTTACCCCATCAATTCAGGGGGCGTTGCATAAAATTCGGCACTAACCATTGATGTTCTTGGAGAAATCATCCACTGGAAACTTGAGCAGATCGGGAAGGTCCAATCCTGAATTTGAACGTGTTATTTCTCCAGCACAATTCTGGAGTACCAAGGAATTCTGATCTCAGTTAGCAGTCAAAAAGAGTGAAGCTTTTTATTCAGTTTCTTATAACGATTTGCATCAGCCCTTTTTTGTTATCAAACAGAAAGCTCATGAAGTTCAAATGAAAAGCAACCACCAAGGAGACCTGAAGAAACATAGAAACAGAGCAAGTCAGAAGGGGTCTCCCGGGCCATCTAGTCTGACCTCCGGCACTAGCCGGCTCCGTTCACGACAAGAAGACCTTAATGAATGTCTGGAGAAAAGGAGAGAAAAATTACATGCTAGATGAGGGCACGGATCCATCTTGGGTAACATCCTGTTCACGCAGAGGCCAAACCACAGAGCAGACAATGAAACAACGGCACCCTTCTATCCATGTTCCCCAGCTACTAGGCTAAATACACAGACAGTCTCTGCCATCACAGGTGGAATTAGACCAACAAAGCCAGTAGCCATGGGCATCTCCCACTCCAAGAATAGGGCCAAGGCCTTTCTAAGCCTTTCCAGTTGCTAACCGTCGCTCCATTCAGTCCTTTTCTCTGTCCTGAATTTCCCACTCATTCACTTCAATGGGATGACCCCTATGGGTTCCAGTTCTGGCAATAGGAATGAATGAGACACATATCTCCACCTCTGTTTTCTCTGCTGCATGCTTAATTCTCTACCTCTCTCTCGTGTCTCCATGGAAGAAAGCAGTCCCATAAAATGGAAACCAAACAGTTGAGACTCAGAAAATCAGTCTTGCAGGAAAGTTCCTCCAGTACTAGGGGTTTGTCTACAAGAAAAACTCTGCTTTCCTACACAGACTTTTTCCAGCTGAGAATGCAGAGCAAAGCTTAGAGACACACAGAGGTTCTTTGTGAGCACAAGATGAAGACGTTTTCGTAAAATAGGAGCATGATTGAACATTCTATCGCCTTTCATCGCATGTTATCTGAGAATTAATTTCTGCCGGTGTCTACAGAGCTAAGCGCAAAACCTCCCCTTACCGCCCCTAAAATATTTTAACAACAATAAAGATGGGGGAAAGTCAAGTCTTGCTTGATTGCAACGTAGATTTCATGCCTAAAACAGTCAGCTCTACCCTGCACACAAGGCAGGTGCCATTTCAGTGCTCCGGATACCCACATGGTTATTTATATTTATTTTTACAGGTTTTTAAGTATGGGGACTGGGGGAAATGCAAACGACCCTGGAAGTCTGATGTCTCCCACTGCATTCTAAGAAGCTATTCCAAATATTCCCAGTATAAGCGCAGAATCACAAAAGGAAACCAAAATCCAGACTCGGATACTGGATGTCTTGCTTAGACGGATTAAGACGGCTTGTTACGCACTGTCCATCTTTCAGAGTATTGAATTAAGGAGCACCAGGATGAAAGTGCAGGCTAAGCTGAACAGGGGAAGATGCCCAAACACAGAGAAAAACACAGGATGAAAACATGGGCTGTTCAGTCCTTGATGCACCTGCTGGACTCCAGGATAAGGCCAATCGCCGTTGTCACAACCACAGCTACCCCGACGCCAATGACGCCCACCGTACTCACAATCAAGGTGTCTCTCACCTAAAAAGAGACGAGAAGGAGAAACCATGAGGACACGTCTCCTGCGGATGCCAACTGTTGAGGTGTCGGCCTAAAGCGGCCGGTGCCCCGCAGATGCGTTGGACTCCAAATCCCATCAGCCCCAGCCTGCATGGCCGATGGTCAAGAATGCTGGGAGCTGACATTCCAAGGTATGTGTTTGAGAGGAGGCTGTTTCAGAGCTGAGCTTAAACGCCGTGAGCCCTAACGCAAGAGCGAATGGTAGGACGGAAGCCACGCGCAAGTGAATCCCATTGCTGAATTGTGTGTTGAGTGTGCAAGGGAGGCCTTCTTTTTCTCTACCCCAAATCTCCCACCATTCAGCCCCATGGGAAGACCTCCTTGGGTTTCAGCATGATGAGAGAGGGGGAAATGTAGGAAGATCAAGAACTTTGATGGAGCAAGCCCGGAATCTGTCTAGTCAGTGGGACATTCCAACCAGAAGGCCAGGGGCACCCTCCCACCCATGTTCCCCAGCAACTGGTGTCCACAGGCAAGAGGATCCTGGGGGCGGCAACAGCCCAAGACCCAGAAAACCTTCCTGCAGTTCATTCGCTCACCACAGAGGGGAGCTTCACACGGCTGCAACTTCTGACGCATTGCTTTTTCCCGGAAAAGGAACAAGCGGCTCTTTGTCTGGCAATCCATTTCGGAGAGGTTTTTGAACGAACTCAAGGCTGAGCTGCCACCGATGCGTCACGGTGGGGCGGGCGGGCAGGCACAAGAATGTTCCTTGGCCTGAGAATCCAGCAGCCGATCAAATCCAGAAGCAGCCGATCAAATCCTGCTTTTCTCCGGGAGAATTCCTTGCAGCTCCCTTCCGTCTGTGCAACTTACTGGAAGACGCTGCTTGGCGGCTTCACCTCCTCCAGCTCAACCTGCCTGGCCAGACTTTTGCTCATCATCCGGCTGATCTGGTGCTGAGCTCCGGCATCTTAGCATCCACAGCACCAGCCCTCTGAGCCACCTAATTCCCATCTCAGAATTAGGCCAAAACCTGACCAAGATTAAGCCTTTGATGCTGTGAATAGTCATCCCAGTGGAATGGAGCAGAAGCATCTTAGCTACACTCCATTCCGGTGGAATACTTCCTCCCAGGGCCATCCCGAAAACTTTGCCCCCCAGGCAAAGGAGAACCTGGTGTCCAGTTTCTGCCATTCCACATTCAGATGCTGACCGGCCTTGTGGAGGAAGCATATTTCAGTACTGGTGATGGGAACCCAGGTCAGAGAAACTCCTGTATGAGGAGAAGGTACCACTGGCTGGTACGACTGCTTGGAGCTTAGAAAAAAGACAAGGAGGGGAGACACGATAGAGGGCTGTAAAATAACGCTGGAGTGGCGAAAATAGAGAGGGAGGCTTTTTTCACCCTCTCCCATAACACTCGAACCCAAAGGGGTCATCCCGTGAGGCTGGTTGGCGGGAGGTTTAGGGCAGGTAAAAGGAAGGGCTTCATGCGACGTACTGGAGCTATGGAACATGCTGCCACAGGAAGTGGTGAGAGCTGCCAATCTGGATGGCTTCCGAAGGGGATTGGGCAGATTCAAAGGGGGGGAGCTACCCGTGGCTACTGGCCTTGTTGGCTATGGGCCACCTGCTTTGCAGAGACGGCCTTCCTGCACGCACCCGTTGCTGAGGAGCTGGCCAGGAGGAGGTCTTGCACCCATCCCGCTGGAGGGATCCTGCGGGCGGCTGGTTTGCCAGCGTGTGTGAAGCACTGGGCTGGATCTTGTAAGCCATGCCAAGACCTTTGTAGGGAACAGGTTAGAAAAGCTTTTAATTGATGAATTGATTGATTAAAGTCTTATGTTTTCATGCCAGCAGCTTTCAAGGATGGCAGTCTCATTCAGTGTGGTGTTACGGTGAAGAGCACGGGACTGGGACCCAGGCGATCTGGGTTCGAGTCCCCACTCAGCCATGGAGCCGACTGGGTGACTTTGGGCCAGACACAGACTGTCAGTCCAGCCTACCTCACAGGGTTGTTGTTGTGGGGATAAGATGGAGGAGGAGAATGATGTAAGCTGCCTTGAGCCCTTTGTAGGAAAAAGGCAGGATACAAATCCAAAAATGAATAAATTTAGGGCGTGCTGAGTCGGCACGAGTCGCCTTCCATTGGCGCACAGCCACTCCCACCCATGTGCCACCCACCTTATGGCAGGGCCAGCCCAAACCTCCCTGCAACGTGCAGAAATAATGCTGGGAGGTCTCTTTCCCGGCTTTCCGGCAGCCCACGGACCCTGCCCTGCCCAAGGGCTGGCCTCAGCAGCCCCGGGGCGGGTCACCCGGACACGCACCTGGTCGCTCCTCGCCATCCCATAGCGCAGGCGTGTGGCAAAATGCTCACAGTTGCTGCTGGTCAAGCTGTAGTGCATCTCCTTTCCCAAGAGCAGTTCTGCCTCCCGGACGATTTTGCGGGCGGGACGGGGCCGGTGCTTGCGATCGTATTTGTTGTTGACCTGGCAGACGTCTCCCCTGGCGATTTCCCACAGGAGTGCCTTCTTCACCACCATTTTATCCGACACAATGGACAAGAAGCTGGACAGCCTGCTTTGTTTTAACTCACCTTGAAAGACACACGGACAGAATGAACATCGCAGAGAAAGGCATGAACAGACTCGCCTTGCCGTTCCACGGTTGCCTTCCCAGCCAAGGAATTTCAGAGACAACCGTTCAGACAAGGTGGTGTATGGAATGTCAGGTCTGTGGGACAATCCAGCCTGCCAGGGTCAGGATCCAGCCTTTCCAGGTCCTCCAGGGAACAAATCCCCTCCACAACCCCTTACTGTGCAAGAGTTTCCCAGCTCTTGTGCATTTTTCCCAGCTGAAAAGCCACTCTAAGGTTAATGATAAACCGCAAGAGCTTTAAGCTAAAATAGGCTCAGTATTTGGGGTTGTTTGCGGCCTTATCACGGACATCTGCTCCCCTTAAGAGTTCCTCCAAACCTGAATTTGGGCCCTGGGCTGAAAGATAGCCCCTGTTTTAAGAGATGAGGAATTATCTTGGGGCCCACTCGAAGCACCAGTGTGGTGAGCGTGTCGGACTAGGACTCTGGAAGAAATGGGTTCGAGTCTGCGCCCAGTCATGAAGCTGGCCGGGTAACCTTGGCCCAGTCACAGATTCTCAGCCTAACCTACTCACAGGGTTGTTGTGAAAATAAAATTAGGAGAACCTTGTAAGTCATCTTGAGTTCCTTGGAGGAAGGGTGCAGTATAAATTAAATGGTTAATAACAGCAACAAAAGAGGAACACTTTTTTCCAATTAGATGACACTTTGGAACGTGGATTTGTCACTGGAAAGTACACAATAAAATTCAGGCAGGAATACTGGTTTCATATTTTCCAATGGTGAGGGGAAAACTGACTGAAAATCAAAGACCGAAGAAATCACAAAGGAATTCTTTCTTTCATGCCTTGAGATTTCTGAACCAGTCTCTTGATAGTTTCCCAACATTCTGGCACTTTAAAAAGCTACAGCACCTTAAAGGAATATGGAGATTTGGTGAAAGGACACTTTGGAGAATCACTAGACTCAGGGGAGGAGATCAGAAAAGATCCTTGGATTTCAAGATGAAGATGCCATCAGGAAAGAAAACAGCCTCAGATGATCTAACTATATAGGGAGTGATTGGATTAAGAAAGGATTTCTTGACAGCCAGTCGGGTCATAGGTAGATGCCAACCTCAAGAGATGTGCCAGAATTCACATTCCCCCAGAAATATCCCTCCGTATACGAATCCGTGGTTAGCGTGTTGAATTGGGAGTCCTTTCTCAGCCATGAAGCTTCACTGGGTGACTTTGGGCCAATCACTTAACTTGCCTCACAGGGTTGTTGTTGTTGTGAGGATAAAAGGAAAGGAGGGGGTTATGGATGTCACCTTGGGCTCATTGCAGGAAAAAAGGTAGGGTATAAATAGAACAAATACATAAACTTCACCATCACGCTGGACCTGGTTTTCTCGACGGGGCAGGAAGAGGGTGATCTGAGGGTGAGTAATTTATGTCTGACTCCCCTGTCATGGTCAGTTCACTTCCTCGTGAGGTCTGAGCTTGAGAGCAGCCTTTCCCTCTGTAAGGGTGCAGACCCGATTGTGCTGGTCTGCCCCTGGAGCCGGATGGATCCAGATGGTTTCCTGAAGGCCCTGGGGGAATTTCCAGTTGACAAGACTGGTACTCCTGTCAAAGCTCTGGTCGAACTATGGAATGGGGAAATGACCAGGGCTATTGGCACGATCGCTCCCAAGCGTCCTCTCCCACCGGGCAGAGCCCGTTCATCCCCCTGGTACACACCTGAACTACGGGCGATGAAACGGGTTGGGAGACGTCTAGAGCGCAGGTGGAGGAAATCACGGGATGAATCTGACCGAACACATCTGAGAGCTCATTATCAAGCCTATGCTGTGGCAGTGAGGGCGGCGAAAAAGAAATTCTTCTCCGCTTCCATTGCCTCCTCACAATGCCATCCAGCAGCGCTTTTTCGGGTGGTACAAGGGTTGGTTCATCCAGGCCCTAAGAAAGACCCTGTACCACCCTCGAAGGCCCGCTGTGACAACTTCGCCAAGCATTTCAAGGAGAAAATCACTCAGATCCGTCATGAGCTGGACTCCACTAGTGATTCAGATCCCTTAGGGGAAGTGCCAATACCTCTGTCTGGTCAGATATTTTTGGATGAGTTTGGATGAGTTTCAGTTATTGTGGCCTGACGATGAGGACAAGGTGTTTGGACAAGTACGTCCCACGACCTGTTTACTCGAACCTTGCCCGTCGTGGCTACTGAACAAAGCCAAACACGGGATTGGTGCCTGGATCCTGGAGGTCATCAACGCCTCTCTGAGGGACAGCTGGGTGCCTGCCCCTGTAAAGGAGGCAGTGGCCAGGCCTGTCCTAAAGAAGGCATCCCTGGAACCAGAGATGGCCGCCAGTTATAGACCGGTGGCCAACATCCTGTTTCTGGGCAAGGTGCTGGAGCGGGTGGTGGCGGGACAACTCCAAGCACTCTTGGATGAGACTGATTATCTGGACCCATTTCAGTCCGGCTTCAGACCTGGTGGTGGTACTGAATCCGCCTTGGTCACCCTGTATGATGACCTGTGCAGGGAGAGAGACAGGGGGAGTGTATCCCTGTTGGTCCTCCTGGACCTCTCAGCGGCTTTCAATACCATCGACCACAGTATCCTTCTGGATAGGACTGGGAATAGGAGGCACTGCTTGGCAGTGGTTCTGCTCCTGCCTCGATGGCCGATTGCAGAAGGTGGTGCTGGGGGACCTTGGCTCTGTGCCATGGCAGCTATGGCAGCAGGGGTCCATTCTGTCCCCCCTGCTATTCAACATCTACATGAAACCGCTGGGAGAGGTCATCAGGAGGTGTGGGCTGCGGAGTCACCAGTACGCTGATGATACCCAGCTCTACCTCTCGTTCTCCACCAATCCAGGTGAGGCAGTGGCTGTGCTGAACTGGTGCCTGGCCGAGGTAATGGGCTGGATGAGGGCCAGTAAACTGAGGCTCAATCCAGACAAGATGGAGGTCCTGTTGGTGGGTGGTTCGGGCTCCTGGGTAGGGGACTTGGGCCTTGTCCTAAATGGGGTTGCACTCCCTCTGAGGAACAGGGTTCACAGCTTGGGAGTGCTCCTCGACCCAGAGCTGTCATTAGAAGCTCAAGTGACGGCGGTGGCGAGGAGCGCTTTCCTTCAGCTTCAGCTGGTCCATCAGCTGCGTCCCTACCTGGAGAACAACTGCCTAGCGACAGTGACACATGCATTGGTTACTTCCCATTTAGACTTCTGTAATGCGCTCTACGTGGGGCTGCCCTTGAAGACGGTCCGGATACTTCAATTGGTGCAAAATAGAGCAGCCAGGTTGCTGATGGGAACTGGGCATTACTCGCACATAACCCCAGTCCTCTACCAGCTTCACTGGCTCCCCATTGAAGTCCGGGCTCAATTCAAGGTGCTGGTTATCACCTAACAAAGCCCTTAATGGCTTGGGACCTGGATATCTAAAGGAACCTATGGAATGCGCTCCCCAGAGAGGTCCGCCTGGCACCGTCGTTATTTGTTTTTCGGCGCCAGGCCAAGACCTTTTTATTTAAACAATATTTTAACAACTTTTAATATTTTCTATTGGTTTTAATTTTACAGCCAGGGTGAATCTGGATTTTATGTGCACTATTTATATGGTTTGTTTATTTATTGTATGGAAGCCGTCCCGAGGCTCATGCGAATGGGACGGCATACAAAAATTCTAAATAAATAATAATAAATAGTGGGGATAAGTATAAATATAATAATTATTCAGATGCAGGGATGCAAATCCAGGGATAACAGCTGGATAATAACAAGACATTTTAGCAGGGAAGACAAGGAACAGGGAACCTTAGCACCTTCCAGGTCTGCTATCCAGGTTAGGGGCAACTTGGAAGTTTTGCTTGCTTCTTTACCTCTAAACTGTCTTTTGACCAGACAGAAATCCCCTTGGGAGCCCCACAACTAGAAGAGTTACCCCCTGCTAGGCAGGACTCCTGGCCCCCATCCAGTCATGCATACCTTGGCGTGTGTGAAAACCAGCCCCATTTTTTGCTTATGGAAAAAGCGGGCAGAAATTTGCAAGACAACAGGGACAAGACCTGTCCAAGCCTCCAGGCAGCGGCCGACCAAGGAGGTGGGTCCCATGATGTGAAAGAGGAGAAGAAATTCTTGCTGGATTCACTCTGGAAGTTGGCGCAGGGAGGGCATCTAGTCTCGGGGGCCTGCAAGACGGTACATGCGTCCAAGATGTACACGGTGTCTTACCTGAAGGAGTCAGATGGATCACGTAACCCGAACCCACATAGATGGCCCAGTGTTGGTAGCCGAGGCGGGAAATTTCTATGAGGTCTCCGGGCTTCGGTTCAACCTGTCGTGAAGAACAAAAAGAGCTCCATTCACCCTGTAAAAGCCCCAAATCAGTCGTCTATGGAGACCTGCTTCAAAAGCCTTCTGCAAACAAGCTGTTCAGACCTTTACAATTTATTTCTCGGTTGCCCTGATTTTTTAGGGCGAGAAAAAAACACTCAGGAATCGGACTGGGAAAACAGTAGCTCCTTGATGGAAGCTTGGAATATAAAGAAAGGTAGTTTTAAGCGGCATTTACAGAATGTAAAACAAATGTATATTTTTTTTACTTTACCACCCCAGCTTTCCAAAATTGCTAGAGTGGCCATAAACCAAGTGTAAAACTAGACATATATTCCAACTGCCAGAGACTAGCTCTATTTACAGATCTGTTTAGAGGCATTTTCTCATTCTTTCTGGGTGCAGGTCACAGGTATTCTTGAAAACTCCACCCGTATGTCAAGGTACACCCTTTCCTTAGTCCTTTCTGCTCTACAGAAACTTTAAACAATGATGCCTATTACTTGAATTTTCTGGTGCTTTCATAGTCACTAGGGCTCTCTGTGCCTTTTTAAGCCTCTGCAGCATAAACTTGCGTCTATATATAACTCAGTGGGCCTGGAAAAATCCCCACCAGGAGCGACAGGCTGCCAAGCTGCAGTGCTCGGGAACAGCTGTGAGAATGATCCTGGGGACCCACCAAACAGACCAGCACAGGGAGAGGCCAGGGAGCAGCTGAGGAGTTGAAGCAGGAGCAACTACTCACATACAAGCGATCCGGCATCTTGACGAGCGGTGCAAGCGGCACGCCGGATCCTGCGCTTTGGAGAGCAGAGCAAGCCGCGGCCAGAGGGCTCGGCAAAGAGTCCCAATAGCCTTTGCTCTGGAAGCGTCCCGTCCTAGAGGTGTTTGCACAGGCGGCAGGAGGACATCCCGGAGGGACTGGGTGGCTTGAAAAACCAGGAATCTGGGGCAAAGGGCTCGCTTATTTCTCAGCAAAATGGTGCAATTGTATTACTTGCAAAACACAGAAATAGCTTCCAAAAATAGCTATTTTTGAAATGTCTTCCAAAAATAGCTACTGCACTGCGTTTGTCCAGCTAAGGTACAAAAGATGCACATAGAGGCTTATGAATTGTATCCGTTTCCCTGGATTTCTTTAGAAATTCTCTCTTTGTTTCTTCTTTTGTTTCTTAGAAATGAAAGGAGAAATGAATTAAAAGCGCTCATTACTTAGCACTTCCCAATTTTCTGTGGTGCCGGCTTACAAATAAATTGGGAAAACATTTTGGTAGATGTGGAGGAGCAGAAATGTACTAACTGGCTGATTTCATTGAGCTCTCTGATGCAAATGCCCACGAGAAAACAGGGCATGTGAAAAACGAGAGAGAAGTCACAGCATGTTCAGAGGAGTCTGCAGAGGCAATTTTTAAAGCATGCAAGAGACCGTCCTTCCCCCTGCCCTATAAGCTACCCCCAAAGAATGGATTTTTCTCAATACCCATGGAAAGCTTAGGATCCTCTGGAAAAGGAAAAGGAGAGAATGGAACGAAGCGTGGAAGGTCACGGCAGGCTACAACCCTGAAGCACTGCACCCTGTTCGGAGGTGAGGATATACTGCAAAATTTTGCTGCAGGTTCCAGCATCTAGCATTCCATGCCAGAACTTCTTAAAGATTAGATCATATTTAATCTAATACTTCTAATGTTTATTAGAAATTCAGGAGCTTCTGTGCCTGAAATGCAGCCTGGCAGACAGACATTGCCAAGGTGCAAGATACTTCACCTGCCTTATTTCTACCTGCCAGTTAGGCTGTCAAAGGTGTTCTGCGGACCAGGTGCCAGCCCTCGAAAAACCGAGCTGGGTGTTCTGGGTGGTGTCGGAGAAGGCGGGAGTTGTGTCAGGACCTCGGAGAGCATCCAGGAAAGGCCTTTTACCGCCTGGCAGAGGCGGGTCTTTTGGTGGCGCTGCCCCTGCCAGAGGTGGACCGCTGTCCTGACCACCCCATGCCCGCCACGTACTCCTGCAGGACGGGAGAAGTTTGCCGTGGCTGCCGCCTCCTCCAGCAAGGAGGATATAGAAGGCATTCCCAAGGCAGATCATGGAACCCGCCTGAATCGGAGGCATCCTTGGAGTAAAACCACCGCAGAACCGCCCTGGCTCCCTTTCAAGGCCTCTTGGAAAAAGTGCCAGGTGGCAAGTGATGGGAAATTGCGGGCCAACTTCGCGAGAATTACTGCCAGGTAATGACTGGGTCCAGAGGAGATGACAAACCGCACACGAGTGTTGAGAATAGGTCGCATGTGGCTTGGCACTGAACCATGGGTCATGGTGGAGAGGTCAGTTCTCATGCTGTCTGAACCCACCAAGATAACAAACCATGATGAACAACCTCCAGTTCACAGCCAAACAACAAACCAAGGGTTGAGGATGGGTAATGAATCTTCGCTTATCAGCACTTCTGAATCTTTTCTCAGGCAGGAAAAGATGCCCCTGCTGAATTTCTGCCTGACTTTAGGGCCATTAATGGCAGAGAACTAGCCCTTCCCTGCCAAACTTGAGCCAACCCAACTTTCTCAAACGTCGGAGAAGGGAATGTAATAACTTGAAACTCAGCAGCCATGAGGTCCACAATCGTGCAAAATCCCAAACTGAGCCAAAAAAGATGATTGCAGGGACACTAAATGGAAAAATTGGCCCTGTTTCCATGTGCATGTTGGCACCGCACCGATTTATTGCAACCGTTGGTGAAAACCGTTGATGTGTTTTATTTAACGAGGGCTACATTTCATTGGCTTGGCCACGTTCTGAGCAGTGCACAGGTTTTTCCTTCCCTTGGAAGCCTATGGCCAGAACTGGTATCAAAGTTATATTGAGCATGTTTGGTTTCATGCTGAAGCCGAGAACTTATCTGCATGCCAAGAGTTTCCAGAGGAAATCCACTCCTCCCTTGTTGACCACAAGGCATGTATCTTAAGGCCTTTAGCTTCCAATTTCTGGGCTTTGTGGAGCTTGAAGCAAGACAAGACAAGACAAGACAGAAGACAGAAGGAGAAAAGACAGAAGGAGAAAAGACAGAAGACAGAAGGAGACAGAAGAAGATGAAGCAGAAGACAGAAGACAGAAAAAAGAGGAAAGCTGCAAGAATACTGTTGGAAACCATATGTATATTTCATTATCTATAGGTTGCTTGCTCCTGGATCTATTTGAATCCATACTGAGATGCTTACAGCAAAAAGTTAAAAGGCCACTTTTATTTATGTCTTTGCATTTTGGGGAGGGGCTGGTGGGTGCACGCAGGAAGGAGGGTTGCTTGGGATGTGGGGAGGGAAATATACTTCCTTTCAAGTATGCCTTCCTTTCAAAAGTGCTTTCAAATGAAATGCGATGAAATTTTGAAATGGGCCGTCCAGCATCTGGGCAGGTGATGTTACAGAAAGCACACAGATACAGCTCCTCAGAGCATCTGCTAATAGTCATCTTCTCGGTTCCTCTGCTTGTTCTTCGAAGCCATCCAGAAAATTCCTCCCACGAGACCAGCCAAAGCTACCCCTCCAATGGTGTAGGCAACCGCATCTCTAACCTGCAGGGGCAAAAGTGTGTGAGGGGGGTGTGCATCTTCTGTCAGTCCGTCCATCTGTCCCCATGGACAGAAATTGCATGAGCCATCAAGCCCCGGGCTCCCCCCATCCCTGTTCTCTGTGCGTGGGCTGCGGAGGGGGGCAAAGGCCAGGCTTGGGGTCCCAACGCCAGATTGCGGCTCACGCTGGGAAGATGCAGGATCGCAGCCCAACTCGCTCCCTCGCAGGACTTAAAGCCTGCTCCACACAGGACAAGATGCCCAAGCCGTGGAGCACAGAACGAAAGGGGAGCCTCCAAAGGCAGCATCCGACTAGCGAGATCAGGAGGTGTCTGTAGGGTCCCGCTCCCAGCAACGGGCACCCTGCAAAATTGCAAGCCCTGGACAGGTTCAGCCATGCCGCAACTCTCTGTTGCAAGCCTTGCGTGTTGTAAGGATCTGCCCCGGGTGGGTTGTCCAGGGCTGACACCGAGTTTTGAGCTGCCTCCCACCACTAGGCTGCACTTCCTCCAGGGGCCCCCTCCCTCAGTGCATACATCCCCAACACTGTGGCCCCCCAGCTCCTCGGGCTCCTCCTCTCCCTCATCATGGCTGCCACTGGCTTCCTCGGAAGGGGGAGCTGCTGGCCATGATGCCCGCGGCCAGCTGCTCACCCCCTCCAGGCCAAAGCGAGAGGCTGCGAACACGCCGGCTGGAAAAGGAGCAGCCACTACAGGGGGCTTTTCCAGGGGGCCCCCACTGGGGGTGCCCTGAGCAGAGCCCAGGGCTGCCCAACCCCGGCCCTGATGTCACTGAACCAGGGTCAACCCCAAGACGCAATTCAAGGACACCCCTTACCTGGTCACTCCTGGCTTCCCCGTAGCGGATTTTAGTGACAAAGTGCTCGCAATTGCTGGTGATGATGGAATACCGCAGCACCTGGCCCACCATCTCCTCGGCCCGACGGACAATCTTGGCCTTGGGCAGAGGGGAGAACCTCGCATCATGCTTGTTGTTGATCTGGTACTCGTCCGTGCCGACCACCACGCTCAGCTTCTCCTTCTCCACGTACGCGATGTCGGCGGTGACGGACATCACGCTGCCGAAGCCGGCCCCAGGGACTTCGCCTGCAAGAGGGAAAGTGGGAACCGGATTGGGGAGGAAACAGCCACCGAAGGAAACCCAGCCGTGAAAACCTCGTGCGCATCCCATCACGGGACTGAGAAAGCTGCAAAGCATCAACCAGGCACCTCACTTGTTTATTTCTCCTGATTATGAGATCCGGTGGCGGCAGGCAAGGTTCTTTTTTTTACAGCGAGAAGCAACTTGTGAGAAGGGAAATCCTTTAAGAGCAAAACAAGACTATTCCAGGAAATTCAGTGAGCAGGTTATGAGTTTTGTGGCTAGCTGGGTTACAAGCCAGCTGCAAGGGGAAACCTCTCGCATAATCTTTCACCCCTTGGGTAATCTGCGCCCTCTCCAAGGTCGCTTCTTCCATGAGCCTTTGCCGGTCAGAAGGTTTGGGCAGCTAGCCAGTGGATGATGGGATCCAGTGTCCATGGAAGAGGGTTTCCACCCCAGGAAAGACTCTGAACAGGTTGGGAGCTATCCGTGGGGTCGAACTAATGTGGTGCTAAGCTACTCCCCGAAACGGATGCGCTGCCCACCTCAAGAGGGAAAGGGAAAACACAATTGGCCTCCACTGGCAACTTGGGGGGTCTGCAAAGCACCAAAAATGCGTTAGAAAGAAAGCCCCAAATAACACGCCCCCCCCAGCAATGATGAGCTCAAAAGCACCACTATTACAGAGCAGAGTACGAAGCCCCCTTCCCCCAAAAAGCTTTCCTCTCCAAGCGAAGAAAATCCCCAGAAAATTGCATGACAGATTTCAGCCAGACACTGTATAGTTCAGCAACCCAAGTGCGAGAACAGCCACTAACTTCAATGGGCCCAAACTAGGAATGCTCAATGGAACCTCCATGGATAGGGGCAGTATTCCTTTGAATCGCAGATGCACTGGAGCTAAACAGCATCTGCCTGTCCACCGTTGCAAAGAGAGTGCTGGACCGAACACAGACTGGGGTGGCAAGATAAAAAACCTGCACTGGATTTATTCCTGTCATACCACATGTGTGCACATCTGCGTGTGGGTGTACACCCCAAAATCCTAGGAATCAGAGTTCATGTGAGTTAGCTCAATTCAGTTCAGCCCCAGGAGGCACGATTTAAAGCACACAGAAACGAGGTACGGAAAGCATACACCGTTCTAGCTAATCTCCCAAGCTTCAAAGTCACATGCCAAATTTCTGAGTATAAAGCCACTGCCAAAGCAAGTATTTGGGGTGGGGTGGGGTGGGGGGTTATTACAGGCATTGTGGGGAGGAAGGAGTTTCTTACAGAGTGGAGCTAGGTGAACGACATAACCATTTCCCACATAGATGGCCCAGTGCTGGTACACAGAACGGAAAATCTCAATCAGGTCCCCGGGATCTGGCTCCTCCTGCAAAGAGACGTGACCGAACCACGTTATTTGGTGGCCGTGTGTTGATCTAAGCTGGAAACCCGCAAGAGAACACCCAACCCTCAGAGAAAGAAGCGTTCAGTGCAAACAACCCCTGATGAGAACCCCTGGCTAGCTGGTGGGTTTTTTGAACTGTGGGTTGCGGTCCGGGCTGGGTTCTGACCGAAGCGTGGAGGTATTTAATAAGTAAGGTTGCCGTGCCGAAGATCCGTCCAGCAGCTGCCTTTGGCCAAAGGGTTAAGCAGTCATTTTTAAACGGACTCCTACTGGCGCGACAGAGTCAGCTAGGGTCACAACCTCACAGGTTCCCGGGCTGAAGGGTTGGGAAACTGATGTAAACATTATTTCTATTTGAACAGAACTGCTGGCTTTTGAAATGCAAAATGAAACTGAACTGAAGCACCAATCTTTAGACCTTTGATCAGGCTGGCTGGTATGGATGGGAATTAAACTCCTAAACTTTGGGAAGGTGCCCCCCTGGAAAATGCTGCTGGAATCTTGTGGATCCCCAGAGGTCTTCCATGTCAGAACTGGCCAGGGGTTGTCCTTGCCTTGGGGTCGAGTACGAGCTAAGCTTGGGTCGCAGCTGAGGTGCGGGTGACCAGGTTGTCTGAACCCAGCCGAGGCAACGCACCCTGATGAACAACCCAATAGCAAAGCTAGAAAGTCTGGCGCCGCATGACTTCTCCCAGGAAAGAGCTGTGGTGGTGCCTTCCGTTGCAGGACATACCTGGCTGGCCGGCACTGGGGAGGGAGGGCTAAGCACATCTCTTGTGCCGACACAACAACAGAGAACCCCAGCGGCCGGAGCTGGAGCTGCCTCCCTCCCAGCCCCAAGGTTACCTGAAGGAGCGCTTGCGTCCGTATCTGCCCTCCCGCCCCGAGAGCGGCGGCAGAGGCCCTTCTCCGGGAGCCCTCCGTGAAAGATATTAGGAGGGCGAGCACCCGGAGGAGGGCCTTCTCTGCGGTGGCGCCCAATCTATGGAATGCGCTCCCCAGAGAGGTCCGCCTGGCGCCGTCGTTATATGCTCTCTGGCACCAGGTCAAGACCTTTTTATTTAAACAATATTTTAACTGTTAATTGTTGTTTTTATTTATTTATTATACACCTGCTGAGATGTATCCGGATTTTTAAACTTCATTCAATATTTGTTTATTTGCTTTGTAAGCCGCCCCAAGGCTTGTTGCAAAGGGGGTGGCATAAAAATGCTTTAAATAAGTAAGTAAGCAAGCAAGCAAGTAAATAAATAAATAAATAAGGTGGCCCAGCTTCCCAGGTGCATGCCGAGACCACGTCCATTCAAAGGTGCCTCTCAGGAGCTCCAGCAGGACTTTCAACCCAGCCAGAAACCTCTTTTGCTACCCGGTCATCCAGGGCATCAAAGGGAGCCCTACCATGTCTTGCCTTTTTGCCTCTTCGCTCTGATCGAACTTATTCCCGGGAGTAAAAACGTAGCTTTTAGTCTCTCGCTCACCACGCTTCACTGGGCCAAGCACACCTGGCACCTACCTGAAGCCCCATAATACAATCCAGCCCAGTCAGTTCCCTCTAACCTGGCCTCGAGCACGCTCCCCACTCTTTCACCATACACTTCCACACCTGCTTGGATTACTCACTCACCGTATAGTATTCTGTTCCCAGGACAGACATCGCCATAGTCACGGTCGATCAGGTACAAAGAACCCAGAAAACGTGGCAGCTCTGGGTGCAGTCACGGCAGATCTCCTGCTGCTTCTGGCGCTGATTCAGGAGTTAACTGTGAGCAGCCAAGAGGGAAAGCGAAAGTAGTGCTTGAACAGCTGCTTTGAAGACACGTGCCAAGAGAGCAACTCTGCCCACGAAGGCGGCTACTTCCAATTCCCAACCTCTGACGACAGAATGGACCACTTGCAGTGCACCGGAAAAGCATTTTGTGGGGAACAACCGGCTCAGAGCTAAATCGGGGGGCCCATCCATCCATCCAGGGGGTTACACTATTTGTGACCACCTGGCCAGGAAAAGGGGGGTGCAGGTGGCCAGAAAAAAAAAACCAGTCCAGAGAGCAAGTATTACAGTCAGAACGCTCCCTTTACTGAACAAAAGAGGCCAGAACAACGGCGTGTATGAGAGACACTTGAAAATAATATTTGAGGATTGAAAGCCACGCAGTGGGAAGCTGGTAATGCCCAGAAAAGAAAACAACCAAGCGTAGAACCTCCAAAGCAAAGAATTCCGCAAGCCTCAAACATTCCAGAGAAACCATGTTCCAGTACCCATTCTAGGCATTTTCCAGTTTGGGTACTGGAAAATGACCCAGAACTGCCCCTTCGGTGTGAGCCAAACGAGCAAATTCAAGAGCCACACTGAAAGAGTAAACTGCGGTGCTGTACAAAATAAGCCCTACACAATAATCCTCTTTTGGCACTCATTCTGAACCCTTCTTGCACTTCTGCTTTCCTGATTTCACTTCCTATATCTGGGTCCTCCCCGTTTTGACTGAAGGATTTTGGGCCAGGGACTTTGTGAAAGAAGATCTTGCATAGAGTTATATTTATCTCCCTGCCTTTCAGATGTATTAAGACACCCACACTCTCTCTTTCCAAGGGAGGGGCCCAGCACAGGAAGTCACTTCAAAACAGTGAAATTAAGAGTATTACTTTGCGTTTCCTAGAACTCACACCCAGTTACTAGACGTCCCTGGGCGACACCACGCTGCAGTTGTGTACGAATCAACCAGCACTTTAGAATCGGCCTGGAAAAATCTCCACTCTGCTATGCTTGTCTGTGTACTGACATTGGCACAGAAAAATCTGCAGGGATCTCACCAGTCAGTATGGTGGAGAGAAGTAGGAAGGTCAATTCATCAAGTGCTTATCTCACCTGCTAACGCAGTCGCCGCTGCTCACTTAAAGGAATCGGACTTCTTCACGCTAGCTCTTCACGTGGCCCACAGGATCGTGCCCCTTTTCCAGGGCATGGAGCGAAGGGAGCAGCCAGGGAGTCTCCCAACTGGGAATCAACCTCAGGCGGTGGCTGGAGAAAGTGTGTTAGCTTTGACTCGCGTCAAACCAGGCAGGAAAAGGGGGTGGGCCACCCACCAAGCACCAAACCAGGAGTCCACAGCAATGATCTTATTTCCTGTAAGCACAATAGGCAATGTTTGAATAAAGAAAGCTGAGCAACAGTGTTGAAAAGGTGGTTGCCAAAAATGGTGAACCGAATTTGTCCAGCTCGGGAAATGTCCCAGAAGACGAGCACACAGATCTGTAACTTCTCTTAGTAGTCTTTTCCTCCTGTTGCTTTTTTGAAATAAAAAATAAAACCCAAAAAAACAAGCACTTCTCTCCTCTGCGGTGACATGTCCTTTTTGATATCGTTTGGTTTCAGTGTTCTGGCTACTTTCTATTTATTTGGAATTCTTATATGCCACCCCCTTCACATAAGCCTCGGGACGACTTCCAGCTACTTCCCTTTCTGTCCTTTGTTTTCTGGGAAGAGATTTGGAAAATGGAGCGGCAAGTCAGTCTGGCCGGCTGTTTAGACGAAGTGAAGATGTGGCAGCTGCAGTGAAAATCAACTCCCCACCCAGCGAGCGGCCGTCTGCCTTCCTCTGTAGGCCGCTGCGTGTGGAGAAAGTTTAGCTCCCCAGGTTGGACTGCTGCACCGCACTGCGTCTGGGGTTGCTCTCCTAGGAGGTTCAGGAACACAACAAGGACTAGACAGTTTGAACAGAGACGACTTATTTTGCTTATCTTTTGAATTCTAGATTTGCACATGTGTGTCGGCTCCCTGAAAGGTTTATACAGAAACTTTTTAAATATTTAGTGTATTTGTACAGCTTTTAATCTTTGTGGATCACCTGGAAAGCTTCAGAAATGCATAAAGGAAGTGCAATGATATGAAGATTTTGGGTGTTTCAAGAACGTCTTCAGTTTCATCTGTGAAATGCTGCCAAGAACAGTATTTACTATTCTCTAGAGTTAAGTGCCAGAAATAAGAAGTCAGGCTGGGCCTTACTTGCTGAACCTGCAATTTTCGGGTTCCTGAAATCCCCAGATTTGCAATAACTCACACGAAACGCTGATCTGTCCAATCTTTTTATTCGTGGAAATATTTCTGCCCTTGATCAAATTCCTGTTAAGAGTTGAGGCTAGTAAAAACACCTACAGCTAAAGGAACGCGATTTGTAAAAAGTCCTCATTGCAAGACTTTTCATCTGGAGATCCTGCAACATCAATTTTTCTTTTTAGATCTTCTTTTTTGCTTTAGAGTCTTTCGTGATGTTTGTTAGCTCCAATGTGGAAAATTCACTATTAAACCTCCCTGGAGTCTTGTAGAGAATATTGAAGCCTTATCAGGTGCAAAGCAGGAGAGAAAAACAATTATAGGTAATGGGGAAAGAAGCTCGGTGAGAAAACACAGCAGGCCAATGTAAGAGGGGAAAAACCTTCTCTACACATCAACCTAAAAACCAAATGTGTTTCGAAGAACCAAAAAAAGGGGCATCTAAAGTGTGGTATGGATTCTGAGGATTTGTCCCTGTTCCTTGGTTGCTTTATGAGTAAGCGTTCACACATCTCAGAAGCTGGAGAGGTAACTGAGTAGATGAGATACCACTCGTATAATTAGCAATTGTGGGAACGGCTTTTAAAAGTAAATTGCAGGAGTGGGTGCCCCCCCCCACCATCTAGATCAAGCCAAACACAAACACAAAGCAGTCATATTATGGCAGATTCCCAAAATGGTTCAAACCATCTGCTATTTTCTTTTTATTAGATTTATATCCCGCTTTCTTCTTACAAAGAATGCTTACATCATTCTCCTGCTGCTCCCAATCTTATCCCCTAAACAACAACCCTGTGAGGTAGGCTGGGCTGAGTGTCTGGGACTGGCCCAAAGTCTCCCAGTTGGCTCCTTGGCCCAGCAGGGACTTGAACCCGGATCGCCTGAGTCCCAAGTCCCACGCTCTTAACCACTACAACATACTGGCTCTTTAAAAAAAAAAAAAAAAAAGCAGTTCACACAATTGTGGATCATGCAAATATTGGTACAGTTTAATTTAGCCAGGTTTCCAGAGTCTGGAAGCAGGAATTTAGTCAACTGGATTAGGATGATCAGAGAACTGACTCAGGTTAGTTTGAATTTCTTAGAATCTAATTTCCGGCTGCTTTGTTACACTTTTCTGACCATTCTTTGAAGTTTCGGTAATTTTACACAAACTTAGTTCCAAGAAAAATATGAAACACTGATTAAAAGTTCACATTTTCTCCATGAACTGAAGGGTGAAAATTTGCTTTTTTCAGGGATTTGCACCATGTCAGGAGTGCGAATTTGTGTGAGTGCGAATTTGCGTGAGTGCGAATTTGTGTTCCTACAAATGCCGAATTTGTGTCTCTACACATCCTAATTCCATCAGTAAAAAGACAATGGACTGAAAAGTAACTTGACAATCTGTGAAATGCAAATGGAATGGATTTTTACAAAGTCTATAGCATCCCCATCCTGAATTTTCTTCTTCCTCATCCACACATGGCGAGCAAAAGTAAAACGAATTTTGTCAAACAGTGAAGAAATGGAACAAGATTGGAAAAATTCTGGAAATGCATCTCATTTCTACAAGTCGCAGAATTCTGCTTTGCCAAGCGCAGAATTTTCACTCAGTGCAATTATACAAATAAATGCAAATATTCACAACCTTTCAGATTTCAAGGTTTATCCTTCAAAACGACCCACCTGTTTCCCCACATGGGACTTGAATCTTCTTCCTTGGTTATCTCTGGGTTCTAAGAGAATTTCCGCAACTCACACTTTGCCAAGAAATCTTCAAACCAATCCTTGCTCTGGTGCCTCTATAATGCAGGGGTTAGGAATCTGCAGCCCTCCAGATGTTGCTGAGCAACATCCCTGGTCAGGGATGCTGAAGGTTGTAGTCCATCAAGAAGCCATGGCTTCCTTACTCCTGGTCTAACACAACAGTTTAATTCTTCCAATCAGTTAGCAGCCCTGCCTTCTTTACACCGGAGGCATTTTTAAAGTTTTTTTCCAGCTGGTATATGAAGAAATGGGTGACTTTAAGCACATCTTAGCAAAAAAGGAACAGAAATAAAATTCTCCTCAATCCACACCATTTAAATTTGCTAAGAAGAGCATCACCCAGCCTAGAGGTGACCTCTTTGTAACATGGCTGCTAAGATGCCGACATGGCTGAATAAACGGGGGTTCAAAGGTGGTCTTCCAAGAGCCAAGCTCCCGAGAGCTTCTGCCCGGCTGGGTGAATCAGAAAAGGAGTTCCCTGTATCCCAAACTCAGTTTCTTTCTGCCCCCAGAAAATGAACAAATTTGGAAACATTGGGAAGTTTTTATCAAAAAGCCAAACCCAAAATTCGCACTCCCCCAAACACCCCCCTCTCTTTCCCTCTGCATCTCTCCTCTCCTCCTTCCCATCTCCACTGCTTCCGTTCGGAAATGTATTTGTCCCAGCCTTCATCGAAAAAAGTCTCCAGAAGCCGAGAAGCCACAAAAGGAATCGAGCGCCTTGCAGAAGGAGAAATTGCAAAACTTGTTCTCTCCTTCAACCATGCAGCCTGGAGGAAGAATTCTGCCAAACGTCATTACCCCAACAGTTGTGTTGGACTTTGAGGACCATCATCCCCTGCCAACCCAGCCCATGGGAGCTGTAGTCCAGCACTTTGAAAAGGCACCAGGCTGGGGGAGGTCTTTCTAGGAGAAGCATCCTCCAAACCCCAAACACATGTCTGGGGTCCAACACAACATAAAATAGGGTGGATTCCACAGTGCAGGTTTGACCCATGCCAAATTTTAGAGTTGCTCTCATACCTCAAGCCAGGTACAAAGTTCCCAAGAAACAAAGCAATGTGTGAATGGACCAAATCAAGAGGTGGGCGGGCAGCAGTTGGCACTCCCTAGAATCGGACCCCTAATCCAGAAAAAGCATTCCCTAGACAACTCTGGGCCGATTCCGTCCTACAGAAGCGAGGCCTTTGCTGGCTCCAACTGGGCTTCAGTCTCAACATAAGCGCCGGCCCTGCCAAAAAGTCTGAAATGCAAGGACCAGAATTTTCAACACGCATCTTACCGACCTGCAATATAAATACAGAGAGGCGGCCTTCTGGAGTGGCACCGTGGAAATGAAAGGGGAGTAAAAGTGAAGGGGAATGATTTAAAACACTGGAGCTAGAATGTGTCCACCACCACCAGTTCTGCATGTTAATTAGGGTTAGCTAATTGTGAGGCCGGGCAAGACATCAGGAAGGCCACAGTCCGAATCTCGGCTTTGTCACAAACTTGGGAGAACGTGCTGTCCTCCGCAGCCCCCGCCCCCGCCCCCCCACATCTTGCCTCTTCCTGCTCCGGCTGCTGTCCACGTAGCTGCAACCAAGGCCATGATCCACGGTGGTCCATAACGTTGGGGGGAGCCCTCACCACCCACCTCTGTGGACTCGCAACACACCTTTACTGGAGAGTCAGAGGGGGAAGCATGTCACCCACACACACACACACACAAATTGTTCAGAAAGCAGAGGGGGCTTTTGGACCACGGCTCTGAATTGCACCAGTCTGAGCTGGTTGGTTAGGAAGTTGGCTTTGGAAAGAAAACAAAACTAGGTCTAAACAAGGAAACCCGAAAGAAAACGGCCGTCTCCGAGTCTCTGTTATTGGTTCTGTTGCTTCTTCTTCCTGACCATGGCGGCGCCGACGAGTCCCAGGGCGGCCAGGCCCAGGCCTGCGATACTGACCCCCACAAGCACATCCCGCACCTGCAAGAGCAAAGAGAAGCCTCCAGTCAACAGACGCAGGGACGGAATATTGTTACCGCTAAGACGACGGAGAGGCTTACTTGGTCGCTCGCGGCCACGCCGTAGCGCAGCTCCGTGACGAAATGCTCGCAGTTCTCGCTGGTGACCTTGTACGCCAGCTGCTGGCCCACCTTCTCCTCGGCCCGCCGGACAATCTTGGCCGCGGGCAGCGGTGGGAACTTGGCGTCGTACTTGTTGTTGACCCGGTAGCGGTTCCTGCCCACCACCTCCTGCAGCAGCTCCTTCCTCACCAGGGCCTTGTCGGTCAGGGTGGACATCAAGCTTGCGCAGCCGGCCCCGGCGAACTCGCCTTCGGGAGGGAAGAGAAAGCACCCCTGAGACTGCGTGGGAGAAGCGCCGAGGAGAGGGGCAGCCGGGAAATCCGGCAACGCCGTGGCGACGTTTCCCTCTGCCTTTGATATTTCCTGGCCATTCTCTTTCCGTTTGATAAGAACACTCCTTTCTTTCAAATGCATTTCCGAAGGAGAAGAACCGTCCAGAGAAATCATTATGGGCACGGTACGGCTTCCTGAATTTTAGTGCAGCCGTCCCAGGAGCATTTTAATATACAGGGGGATATAATAGAGCTGGAGACCCCTTGCACTCTGGATTCTAGTCCTCAGGAAATAGGAATTGGAGAGGCCAAGGGTTTCGCTGGCCTTTTGTCTCCTTCTCACAAATAGCCACAAATAGCCAAAAATTAGCTCTGCACATTTTTCAAGGATGTAATCGCCGTCTGGGTTGCAAGCCAGAGCAGACCGGACTGGCAGAAGTTTATTGGCCACTTGGCAATCCTAGCAGAGAGAGGGAAGAGGGATCCCTTACTTGGGGGAGCCAGATGGATGACAAAACCGTTCCCCACATAGATGGCCCAGTGCTGGTACCCAAAGCGGAAGATTTCAATCAGGTCTCCCGGTGTCAGGCCATCCTGTAAGTAGAGGTGAGGGAAGGAAAGCAGAGAACAGGAGAATTGATTTAGGGTGGGAAATGGCAAACACGCCCCCAAGCCAAGCCAAGCCCTGAGCTAGCTAGTCACGGGGCAGCCCAGAATGATGGGACATTCCAGACGGGGAACAAAAGCCGCGCTCTGAAAAAAGGCCGGGCATTGATGGAATGGCACTGTTCTTCAACAAAAGCCGGCAAAGCTGTTTGCAATGGAGAGGCATGTCAAGTTTGAACATAAACAGCCACACTGACGGGATGCTGGGAATGAGCCATTGACATGTCTTGTTCAGCATGGTGTCCTAAGCAGTCTTTCCCTACACTTTTCTCTGTCCGGCAGAAATAGACTAAACTTTAAAGCTCAGCCCTTTATTAGAGCTTAACAAATTACGACAGCCAGTGTGGCGGAGCAGTTCCTGGGACTGGGTTTGAGTCCCTGCTCCGCCACAGAGCTCACGGGGTGACTTTGGGCCAGCAGAGACGCTCAGCCCAGCCTACCTCGCAAGGTTGTTGTGAAGGTAAGATTGAGAGGAGAATTACATAAGCTGCCTTGAAAGGAAAAAAGGCAGGGTACAAATTTAATGCAGGCATAAAATGAAACAGCATAAAGCAAAGTAATGCTCTTCTTGGGAGGTGGCAAAGCATCTGCCCATGTGAAGAGTTCAGTCTGCACTTAAAAATCCCCTCCTTCCCTCTTTTTCAGAAAGATCCTGAGCCCAATTCCAGGGTGACTCCTACCAAGTGTGAACTGGATGCCAGGAATGGTTTTCATGCCTTATCCAAGTACCTTCACTTGTTAAACTCGCGAGCAGGATGTAGCTAGTTGAATGTGATACCCAAGGCTACAAACTCTGGCTTGTCTGACCCCTAACAGGCCACAGTTAATCCTGGCTTGTTCAGCCCAGTGGAAGAAGAACCAAGCCAGAGTTCTGGATTTGGGGACACACGAAATGATCTCCAGGCAGGGCAGGTATCGGCACATCGGCTCATTCACTACAAATCCAAAACCCTTTGGCACTGGATTTTAACAGGGGCACTTTTAAACAATACAGAAGGCTCTGAGCTGAACAGACATCTGTACAACTCCCAGAAATGCTACAAAAAAAACCTAGAAACTTAATCGAAACGTGCTTTGAGCTTGGCTGTGACTCACAAATGCAAACTGCCACGCTGGAGAATGAAGGTGAATTTTGTACTCTGAGGAAGTCGTAGCAAGGTCAAGATATTCCCTTACTGAATAGCCTCAAATGTAGCCATGCCTTTCCAAATGATTTAGCAACGGTCCCCTGCAGTGCTTTTTTTGTAAGAAAAAAGGTGCCGGAACTCATGAAATTGTTTACCTTTCGCACGTAGTCAATCACTGTACACACACCCACACACGTCAGTTGTGTAAGGAAACATAACAGTTGCTGCCCACAGTAAGCACTCAGCGTGCGGCCACACGACCAGTCACAAGCCAAGCAGTGCCATCGCAACCAGCGCAGACGAAGTGCGCATGCATCGGACTCGACACGCAAGCAGCCCGCATGCACCGTTTTAATGATTTTGCCGCCGACCTGCAAAGCTCGACAGGGCGATTCAAATCCACGTGGGCCAAACATCAAATCTTCAAAAGTTACTTTTAAAACTTGGAAAATCTGTCGAAAAAAGGAGCCGGAACTCTGTTCCGGTGCATTCTATGACAAAAAAAAGCACTGGTCCCCCATTTGGAGAGCTTCAAAAGAGGGAATTTGTGGAGTGGAACACTGCCCATGGTTACTAGTCCTCATGGCTATCAGAGGAAATAAACTGACGCTGGGAATCAAGGGCTGTGCGCTCACACCCTGCTCGTGGTAACCCTGCATGTGGAAAGCTAGCTCGACAGGGCACAAGGTTATAACATAAGAACTGCCCTGTGGTTCAGACCACACTGCTTTCTAAGCTTCACACAGGGGCCAACCAGCTGCCCACAGAATCCCACAAACAGGACACGAGGACAAAGCACTCTCTTGCCCACGTTCCCCAGGAACTGGCCCCCGTTACACGCTGCCCCTGATACCAGAGGTAGAGAACATCACCCTGAATAGATAAAGGATCAACACATCTCTCAGAAAGATGCTGAAAATTGGCCCTGAGATTCTGCACATGTCTATTCTGAGCAGTAGAATTTGCAGAATTGTGTTTCAAAGAACTTTATCACACCTGTCCCGTGTCTATTTAATATGAACCTATGCTCCATGATTCAACGTTTACGTATTACTAAACCATACTGCAATTAATAGTCATTAACCTTCATTCTGTGCCTTATTAACCTTCAACAGCTCTGCATTTTACCTCACTTTTCAAATTAATGGTTATTGCTTTTCTGGCTTCTGAATCTATATACTGCAAATGACTTTAAACTCTATCTTTTGCAATTTCTTTCTTTACCAAACATTGCAGTTTTCTAATTAATTATAATTTCCTTGAACGGCTGGTGGATATTTGCTTCTGAAAGAGGATTCAACCCATGACCAGGGCAAGGCTGAGAAATTTTATATGCTGATCAGAATGTTTTTCTACTCAGTAAGGGGTGATATCATTTTATCATCAAATATTTGAAGAGCTGCCAACTATTTGAAGAACTGTGATATCGCTGAGGGAACAAATTTGCTTTGTGTTGAACTTCACTCAGTCTGGGGGCCGTATTTTATTTCCGGCAAGTTTGAAGGAATGCATTCCAGTGGTGGATGGGACTGAAGGCAAAAGGCCCCAAACTAAAAAGCCCCAAATATCACCCTATTTTCGCTGCAAGCTCTCCCTAGCAGGAGCTCAGTCTTAGAAGAGGAAAGTTTCCTAGCAGTAGCCATTAAAAGGAGGAAAAGCTGCAGTTTAACTGGGAGGGGAATTAAACCAAGCAAATTGTGGAGGGGAGAAGAGGGTGAGACGAAGCAAAAGGGTCCTTTGTCTTTAAAAGAACATTGTCTTTGGCCATTTGGGAAACCCGGAGTCCTGGATTGGATCCCAAGCCCCAAATTCTGTACCTCTGCCCTAGAGGCACACAACTAAGACGACAGACCCAGATTAGATTACGCTGCCAGGTGGCTTTATATTTAGAAAGATAATGTGAGATTTAATTGGCCGTGTGCCTTGCTCTCTTTTGGTGAATCATTGGCTAAACCCATTGATAGGAAAAGTCACTGGGGACTTCCTCTAACCACTGAACCCCAAGCCTGCCTGCCAAGATGGACCATGACTGTGGGGCAGAGACGGGCAGCCAGAAGTGTTGGCAGTGTGTCTTTTCGGAAGCTAAAAGACTAGCCAGCATCCTTGGAAGGCCGAATCATCCGCCCGGTGACCTGCTTCGGCACTTGGACATATTCCAGGACCACCTGTACCTACCTGAGTATTAAGGTCTGGCTCACAGGCCCCTCTTGAAGAGCCCAACCCCAAAGGAGGTGAAGGGGATGGCGAAAAGAAGAGGGGCCTTCCCGGGGGATGCACCTTATCTTTGGAAGCAGCTCGCAGAGAAGTTCTCCCGGCGTCCTCATCGCAATCATTTCAGCACCAGGCAATGACAGCTTTATTCTCCAGGAATTTTAATGATTATCGAATGATATTGAATTTATTTTAACTTTACTTCAATTGGTTAAACAATGTTTTAGTGATGAGTTATCCACTATCCTGGTTGAGGATAACTCCTGTATTGCAGTCTCAGTGGTTGGTTTTAATCAATTTTTTGAAACATATACTATTTATTGCATAATTGATATGATATTGCTCTGCTCAATCAACACTGCGCCCAGAGTCCTGCTTGAGATGACAGGGTGCGCTTTTCTAAATCAAGTAAATAATTATGTGCAACAGCTTTTTGATTCCATTTTGTAAGTTGCCCAGAGATGGTATATAAATATTATTACAACTACAAAATAATAATAATAATAATAATAATAATAATAATAATAATTCTGAAGCCTCCTATGAGAGGCAGGACCAGTGAAAGCAGGCAGCCCGTCTGATATCAATGCATTCCACGAACAAGGCGCGTCCACCAACCCGCATCTCCCTCCGGTTCACCTGGGCCTTACCAGATTGACAGGTATTGAGTCCACCGACTTATGGCTGGTCTTCCTTTTCATGTCCATGTTCCCATGCGCAACAGCCAGGCCACTACCTGAGAGAGCGAAAGCGCCATGAGAGGTCAATGTTCAAGATGCACCGGCAGGAGCTGAGGGAGCAAGGACCTTCGGAAGACCCTGCTGAGATAGCCTTTGGTTGGTCCCAGCCAAGAATCCCCTGAACTCATTCCACCCAAGATGGAAGAAATCCTAGTAAGGTGACCTTTCCAGGATGGTTTTTCCCTGGATGTTCTGGAAACCAAGCCCCAGGAGAAGAACCAACAAAGAACACGATGAAGAGAAAAGCAACGCTTGGCCCAGGTTGTGGCGAACCCTCGAGAAAGGCCTCCGCAATGGGACCTCTCCCTCAGTGAGTCCGCTTCTCACCACCATGGTCTCTCTCCAAATCTTCCTCCTCATTATGGCCACCGCTTGGCTTGATGACCAGAGAGCTGGTGGAACAGTTGGCCATGGCATCTCCTGCTCCTCCTCCTCCTCCTCACCGCCATGTTCTGGAGCAAGAACGTGCAGGCTGCGTCCATGAAGAAAAGGAGCTTTGGGCCTCTGTCGGGCTGCGGCCTCTTGGCCTGACCGCGCCTGCCCTTGAAACCAGCCCTGGACAGATGCTGGACCTCTGGATGCATGTCGGACAGAAAGGGCCAGGCTAGGATTAATGGGTAGAAACAGCTGACTCCTTAGCCATTACAGCTGTCACACTAAGCTTTATAGGAGCTATCCATGGCGGTGAACCTATCTGGGGAGATGGCATTCCCCAGAGCTCTAAAATAAAATAAAGCTCAAAGGAAAAGCCACACTGGAGAAGAAGCCCCGCTGACAAGGCATCACGGATCTCTCTCACCTGCCAACTACTTCAAGGACTTTTCCTCCACCAGTTCTAGCTTGGCAAAACCTATGCCCTGCCTCAATCCCAACGCTAGAAGGAATTTAACAGATGCATATCAGATTTGAGGCTTTATTTTTACATGTGGCTGGGCTCCATTTCTAAAGCTCTCCCCCCAGTTGACCATGATTGAGGGGGGCAGGCACGGAGAAGGCCCTACCTTTGAAGACGATGACCTGACCAGGCAGCTTCTTGGTTCGTTTAGACCCGACTCTGCCCAGCCTGGAGGCCCCCGGGGGGCCCTTGGCCGGCACCCGGGGCTGGGCTCCTTTGGCTTTTGTGCAGGAAGGACGGAGCGGTGCCTCCGCCTCCTTCCCGCTCAAGGCATTGGGCTTCCTCACCAGTGACTTGTCATGGAAACTGGGAGGCTGTGAGGCACAGCCCCCCAAAGCCCCGGGAACGGCTGCTCTTCGGCGTGGCGCCATCTTCCAGGCCTCTCCCTCGCCCCACTTCGACATCCTCCGCACAGCCGACCTTCCTCCATATGGTGTTCAGGCCCCTCCGAGGTGGGGCGGCCTCTCTGCTCGGCAGGAGCCTCTTCTTGCCCAGTGCAGCCGACTCTTTGGGACCCGAGCTGGACCGCCCCGGCTCCGCTTTCTTGGGACTTGCCAAGGGAAGTGACCAAACGCTTTTCTTGAACGGCTGCAGTGCAGGAGGGGCTGAGGACATTCCCACTTTGGGGGACCCCTTTGGCTGGCGGGCCGCCTCACTGCAAGGACTCCTCTCACAAAACCACACGAAAAGGTGGGCCATTTTGTTGGCGGGACTTTCCGCTTCCCTCCCTTCACAGGCAGCCGCGGCTGAGAGGTCTTCTGTGCCCAAGAGGGAGGCCTTTTGTGACACCCTGGTCACCGCCAGCAACGACCGTTTTGCCTTGACCTCACGGCCGGGATCATCATCCCACGCACAGCACCACAGTCTTAAAAGGACAGGCTGGCCCCAAACCGCCCCAAGGCAAGGAGTACCAGAAACAGGTCTGCCTGGACTTTGCTCACCCTGTTTCATTTATTTAAGCTTTTTATATTCCGCCCAATACTAGAGTCTCTGGACGGCTTATAAAAAACAAAACATATCGAGAAACAACACACTGCATCCCACCATTAATGATAACATCAAAGGTAAAACCAATTCAATGTTATAATGTAGGGGAAAAGAAAAAGATCTTCACCTGACACTGAAAAGAATAAAGCGACGGCGCCAGGCAAACCTCCCTGGGGAGCACATTCTAAAGTTGGGGCGCCATCACCAAGAAGGCCCTTCTCCGGGTAGCGTCCCTCTTAATTCCCTTCAAAGAGAAGGACCCCTGCCTCTGATCTCAAAGGGGAGGCCAGGATATAGGGAAGAAGGGGCTCCGTCGGCTATTTTCCAGCTAAGTTCTACGCTCTGAATAGAGAAGGTGCATATAAATGCCGGAATCAGTGACCGGTGAAGTCCAGGTCGAGTTAACTTATTTTAAAGAGAGATACACAAACTCTGGCCCTCGGAGTCTTCCAAGGAGCTTGCCTCTTTTCCTGCCAAGCGCCAATCATTTCGGTTTCCTGGCTTTTCTACTATTCCATGTCCCGTTCCCAAGGACTGAACTGCTTCTCCTAAGCGCAGACTCAGCTATCCCCAACCTGGCACTCTGCAGAAGTCCTGGACCACAAGACCCAGAATTCCCCCAGGCAGTTATGTAGACTGGGGAATCTGGAACTTGTAGTTCAACCCATCTGGATAGGACCAGATGGGCAAGAATGGCTCAGCCACGTGTGGCTGTTTAATTTCGTTTCTATGCAGCCCAATAACTGAAGTTCTCTGAGCAATTAAGAATTTGTGCATACAACACAAAAAAGATTTTAGTATGAACCTGGATTTAAAACCTTTTGAGACATTAGAACCAGCTCTAACATTTCTCCCCTAAAGCAACATTTCCTAGACTGCACCCTCCATCTTTGCTTATAGGATCTGTAGGGTCCGCATCAGAGGTGGAAGGGCTTGCGCTTGACGGAACAGCATCTTCCCTCTGCCTCCCGAAGCAGTTGGAGTTTTTATTTTTCTGTTTATATCCTGCCTTTTTCTTACAAAGGGCTCAAGGCAGCTCAAATCATTCTCCTCCTCCATCTTATCCCCACAACAACAACCCTGTGAGGTAGGTTGGGCTGAGTGTCCGTGACTGGCCCAGAGTCACCCAGTTGGCTCCATGGCTGAGCAGGGACCAGAACCCAGATCGTCTGAGTCCCATGCTCTTAATCAGCACACCACACTGGCTCTGGTTTTCAGCTCAGAAATGCTGGCCCTTGTTTTAGATCCACCCCTGCCCTATTTTCCACACTCCCAAAAACTACTCCAGCGTGGCATTTGGCAATAGAATTGCAAAGGGTTCATCGTTCCTTTCTGAAAGTGTTTCATCGCCAGCCCAGCTTTTCTGTGGAAGTGGCTCGCAACACTACCTTAAAAGCCATAAAAAAACATTCAACTAGCGCTTGACCAGGTGGGAAAGCATTTCTGGGCGCTCTTGATGGGCAGATCCATTTGAGGCTGGGTTCTCAGCTACATCATAAGCGGGACTGGCAAACTAGAAATAAATTTTTTAAAGGCTGTGACAGTCAGCACATAGACTTGAACACTCTTGCCAGTGGGACCTACTCTGGGGCGAAGGGGGTGGCAGAGAAACACGCTGAAAACCCAGAGAAGCAAGTCCCTTTGCTGTCTCTCACACGCTCTAAAACGCAGTTTTCTCACAGCAGCTTATAAAGACTTGGCACAAAAAGCAGAGCGGTGAACACCCCTCTGCACATACCCTCCCCATAAGGGATCTTCTCCACCCTCTGCTGGCACCGCCTTTAAATAAAGAAGCCGGGAGCTACTTCGGCCAGCTTGCGGCCATCGCAATTTACCGGGCCCTTTTGCAAAGCAAGGAAGCTGCGTTGCCAAGCCATCTTCCCCCACCCGAGCCCAGCTCAGTGCTTAAGTTGCAAAAATAGGAGGCATAAACGAACCTTCGGTGGCAGGCAACCCCACGCGTCTCCCGGACTGAACTTGCCCGCAACAGCTGAGAGCAGGGAGGGACGGGCAGAGAAAAACAGATGGCTGCGAGGTCAGCTGAGCTGCGTCATCAGAGGAAGAGCAGAGCTTGATCGTGCTGCCTCCTGCTGGAAAAATTTGTCTACCTGTCATTAATTTTATATATGCCTCTCTCTCTCTGCCCCTCGCCCAGTTTCCTGGCCAGACCAAAACTGCACTATTTCTCTCCTTTTCTTTTGCAACCAACTCAAAGCCTCCCATCCACCCCGCAATGTTTCAAATTGGATCGAATATTTGACTGCTGTACCCCGAGTGCAACAACAGATTGAGATTCTATAGGGACAAATGCCAAGTCCTCTACTCAGGAACAAGAAGCCAAATGCACCACAAAATGGGAAAGACTTGGCTCAGCAATACCACAAATGAAAAGGATCTTGGGGTCGTTGCAGATCACAAGCTAAAGATGAGCCAACGTGATGCAGCTGCAAGAAGGGCAAAAGCTATTTTGGGCTGCGGTGGCAGAATTATCTCCCGCAGAACATGAGAAGTACTTTTCCCCCTATACTCAAGATGCAGAAAAGCTAGAAAGAGTGCAGAGGGCAACACAGATGATTCAGGGACTGGAGGCGAGACGGACAAAGCTGGGTAGATTCAACCTAAAGAAAAGACAACCAAGGGGAGATGCGATATCACTCTGCAAGTACCCAAAAGGCCGTCACAAAGGAGGCCAAGATCTCTTCTCAAGACATGGAATAACGGACTGAGACGTCAGATTTGGGCTAGGCACCAAGCGGTGTGTCCTGTCAGAGCAGGATGACCATGGGGCCGATTACCTGGGGGGGTCGCGGGGTGCAGAGATTCAGAGTGTCTGCGCAGTCACCTGACTGGGATGTGTAACCGGGAATCCTGCACCGAGCAGGGGTTGGACCTAAAGGCCTCTGGCCCCTTCCAACTCTGTTCTACGGTCCTACCTCCCCTATATGATGCTACACAGATGAAATCAACATGTCAAATCGCTTTGGCGCCGGTTGTTTCACCCCGTCACAAGTAGAAAACTCGATGTTTGGACCTCCACGAACTCCCGAGAATGACAACAAGGCAATAGCACAATCGATGCCACAATTGTGAAGTTCCCACTCAGAAAAGAGATGCACACACACTTCCCAACATCAGCTTCAGTATCTTGGTCTTTATTTTTGCCGTTGCAAAGTGGAAATGCATATGTGTTTCTGCTTGTGTGCGCTTTATAAATACAGTTTGGCATCTACAGCCCTGCAGCATTGGTCCCCAGCTGGAAATTTTAATACATGACGAAGTCAAGGAGGGAGTTGAATCGGCGAAGAGCGAAACGGACACCCCAACAGCAAAAAAAAAAAAAGGACTTCTAAGACATCCTGACCACATAAGTACATATGTGGTTTCTTTTCACTCCCAGTAATCGCCACCAAAATTTTGTGGAAAGCAGGAAAGGGGGAGGAAGCTGGTCCCCAATCTGACGTTAATGATAAAACCATTGTTTCTGAACCAATTAGAGCTTCAAATTGATGGAGGCATTTTTCTAGCCCGTTCTTCTGCCAGACATCTTTCCCTCAGCTCCCCATCTGGCTACATCCTGCTATGTTGTTCGAACCAGGACGCATGGCTTGTTGGAGGCTTACACAACCCACAGATAACCCCATCACAGCCCATGGCCTCCTGGAGGGCTAATTTAACCGGCCAACAAATCATTCCACCTGGGTTTGGAGAGTGGGACACCCGAGACCAGGTTCAGCTTATGCCTATTGCATCAAACACGCACAGAGATGTGCTGTTGCTCACAGACAACTACCGCAACGAGTGGCAATCGCACAATCCCACCTAGTGTTTCTCTATGGGCACAACGGAAACACAGGATGACATTACTTGGATACTGGAAATTGGGGGGGGGGTGAAAGAATGAGGTCCCCTGTTCAGTTCAACGATGTAGAATGTACCGCTTGTGCTTTGCACCCCTGTGCACACGCACCCTGTGTGTGTTCTCCAGACAGTTCCAGCAACCAGCTGCAAAGATGCTTGTCACAAGCTTCCATGTCCCCAGCCAGGTAAGCCACAGCCCTCCAAGCAGGTCAGAAACTCACCTGCAGTGGGCGCTGGCGCACCTCCAGGTGTCTGGGCCTTCAACTCCCAGCCAGGCCAGGAATGCTGGGAGCTGAAGTCCAAATCATCTGGCGAGTGATTCCTGGCATGGCCCAGCAAAAGGTAAGCAGGAGGGCCAAACTTTTCTCTTGGCTTTGAAGCCACTGTAGCGCATCCAGAACTTCATGCTCCTGTGTAAACACACACACCATTCAAGTAAACCCAAAACCTCCGTCACGAAATCAGACGAAGGGGAGGACTGCCGGTGGCACATGCCGATTTCCCCTGCTTCTCGCTCGCAGTTCAACTGGTCGAAAGCGGGGCAGTATCTGCCTTGTGCTTAGAAGGGATGGACTATTAAGGCGTGGAGCAGGCAGATGGCCGAGGTGCGGAGGCGAGGGGAAGGCGGACTGCATGCTGCATAAAGCTACGGAGCCACCCAGGAAGGATTCCTGGGAGAAAGAGAAGTGTCTTTGGTACAGCAAGCGGAGCTGACTAGGAGAAGCAGCAGCAGCCAAGCCATTCCTGACCTCTGTGGATTCAAGCAGCCACCGACGGGAGTTTCTAAGGTGCAGCTTTTTCGTTCCATGAGAAAGCAGGGGATTAAAATGGGCACTGTTGGTTGCCTTCCTCTTCCATCCCAGAAAATATCCAAAGACCAGGACGGTGAACCTACCTACCAGATCCTTCCTTCCTGACTTCAGGAGCATCGGCAACGGATCCCCTAGGCTTTTTTCTGCAGCTGCTGAGCTTCTCCTGTAAAGATCTCGCCTGACAGAGAGATCTCCCTTAAGCTGCCCCGCAGAATCCCTGGCCCACCGGCCACGAGTCCCATTTTCTCACCTGCCTGTACCATTTTTTGCAGGGAGAGACAAACAACGCCTCCAGCTGCAGTTGCTGAGATTAAACCTTGCAGGCTTCCAGACTCCTGGAGGCCAGCCCAGAAAATATGCCCTGGAGATCACAGCCGCAGTTGCCAACGACCCGCAAGCACTCACCCACCAACCCTTCATTTTCCAGCCCGCACCTGCGATCAGAGCACACCGGGTCCCACGACACCCAGAGGGCATTAAGCTGTGCCTTCCGCTCCGGTGCATCCAACAACCGCTGCACAAAACGACCCGGGAGCGACGCAAGGAACTGACACATTTGAGTCTGTTTGCCCTCAATGCAAACCTACCGAGACGAGTTTCTAAGGCAGGGGCTGGCTGAGCGCGTTCCTGCCTCCAGACAGAGGCATACAGGTGCTGTCCAGCCTTGGAAAGGCACAGAAAGGTTCAAGGAACCTGGGGAACAGACGGGAGGTTCTTTTGTTTTTGGACCGGGCCCAGCACACTTCACGCTCCACTTCAGCATCTTCCACGTCAGGGGGAAAAGGAACCAGGGGAAAAGCCCCATCAGCAAAGAATGGGCTGAAACATCAGAAGTTCGCCCTCTGGGGTGGTCGAGCCGAATCTCTTGAACCGGGGGGAGCAAACATGCTTCCGTCACCGCCAAACTTCCCGAAGCGAGGTTTAAGAGCAGGCAGGCAAGGCGTAAGATTAGCACGTGGCGCTTGTGGTTGGTCTCTTTTTTCTGAGGAAGGCACTAACTGGTACAGAAAGGAAAACTTTAAAGCGGTGCCCCACCCAAGACGCAGACCATTAAAGTGCAAAGGACATTAAAAAATAAGGAGGGAGGGACACAAGATAAAAACAAGGAGAGGGGGTCTTAAAAATAAGAGGAATGATTAACCATAGGAGGGTGAAGGGACTCTCCAGCACAAAAGGTTCGGAACTGCTGTCTGGACGCCCTGCAAGCGATTCCTGGGTTCACAGGCTGTCGCAAGTCATCCGGAGCAGGCGCCGTTCGGACCTCTCGTGATGAAGGCTTCACTTGACTTTCTTGTCCTCAGAAGCCCTCCGGGATGACGGCCTGCCGGCCTCCACGGCCTGGGGGGAAAGGTGTGTGCCAGAGGTTGCCTGCAGAGAGCAGGGAGAGAGGGGGGAAGCTTGGATCACTAAGGGCACGATCCCAACACATATCCTGAGAGGAACAAGTTCCCCACCCCATGACAGTCCCTGAGCTGCAGGAAGGCAGATTTTGGTGGAAGATCAAGCCCAGCATTTCGTTGCCTAAGTTCTTGAATGACGGAGTGCCAACAGAAGCCTGTTTTTGTGTGAAAGGCTGCTTTAGGTATTCAAACGGGTACCTACAGGCATTCATTAAACCGGGGTGGGCAATTGGGGTGGTCTGGGGGGGGTCAGTCCCATTCCCCACCCCCAGGACCCACTATGGACACACTTTCCCATAGCCACAATAACAGAACAAAACCCTTCCCATTTCTTGGGGGAAGAATATATAAATATCTATAATATCTTATATATAAATTATATATGTATGTATACATGTGTGTGTGTATATATACATACATATATATATATAATAAAAAATGGGGACTGGGAACTTTGTGTTGCCCATCCCTGAAATAATTCTCAGAGAGGCAGTCTTGCATAGTGGTTAGAGAACTGAAGGAGCCAGGTCCAAGTCACCATTCAGCCACAAAACTCACTGGGTGACTTTGGGGCCCACAGGGTGGGTGTGAAAATAAATAAAACGGAGAAAACGGCGGCCTTGAAAGGCACCCTGGGCTCATGCGAGAAAGAGAAGGATCAAATGCACATGCACGATCACGACTGACGCAGAAAGAAACATGCTGCAGCCCGGCCTCACCCGGGAAAGCAGGAACTCGGCCGTGGTGTCGATGACGACGCCCAGCTCCCGGTACTGTCCCGAGTAGCGGATGTAGCCCCAGGCCAGGAGGGAGAGCAGCAGCAGCCCCACGGCGAAGTTGCAGAGCTGGGCGGCGATGCCGAGGCCCACGTAGTCCGTGATGCCGGCACTCAGATAGAGAAAGACGATGAGGCTGAAGATGATGGCGGGTGTCCGGAAGTTGTTGAAGATGTTCTTGCTCTGGTTGTGCTTGGCCAGGTCCTCGAAGAGCTCGTTCATCTCCTTCACCAGCTCCTCCTCGTAGCGCTGGCTGAACTCCTTGCCCCCCATCTTCTTGATGCGCTGGAAGTGCTGCAAGGCCAGGGCGCTCTGCACACGGTGCTTCTCCTCCAGCAACTCGGGCGCCACGTACGGCTTGTCCCCTCCGCAGAGCTGGCGGGAGAGAGGGGAGAGCACTCACACTGGAGCTCCTGACATCCCTGAGCATCCAAAACAGACTGAAAACTGCTTTGTCTTTTTTTCCTGCTCCTCAGCTAAAAAAAAAAAAAAAAAAAAAATCAAGGTTCCCAGAGGAGCGGATGTGCAAACGGGAGGAACGCGGCACTCCCGGCCTGCAGGCTTGCCGACTAAAAAGAGGCGCTGCACAAGGAAAAATAGAGGAGCAGGAAAGCGGAAAAACATGAGTCAATGTTTGAGCAAGGGTGGTGGGCTCACCCTCGTATGGGGTAGGAAGTTCCCTCATACTACGCGTTCACCGGCCCAGCACCGCCCAACTCTGATGAGCCGCACGTTTCTGGAGTCTCGAGCCTTCACCCGTCACTCACCCCCGGACCCCTCCAACGGGAGTGGTCAAGGATTGAACCTCGAGCTTTCTGCATGCCGAGGAGGGATTCAGCCAGTGGAATGAGTCTCCCACTGTAAACCAAGGATGCAGAAGCCCTTTCACAGCCGAGGACCGAATTCAGTTTCGGAGCCCTTCTAGGGGGCATCATTTCAGAGGGGAAGGTAGAGCTACGGGCAAAATGCACAAGATGCTGGCCTATTTTAGCTTACACCTCTTACTACCAATGAGTTAGTCCTAGGAAGGTCAGCTTCTCGACCGTTTAGAAGGAGTTGGGGGAACCACCAAACTGTTCCTGGCTAGAAGAAGTAGGCCTGGATTGGACCCCTGGGCAGAGCAGAATCAGCCCACAGGATTCCAGAGCAACACCGGTGCCTTAAAGAGAGAGAGAGAGAAGCTAGGGCAGAACGCACCACTGCAGAAACATCTCGCAGGCAGGCCACACACAGAAAGGAGCAGTTCGGCTGTCCACCGCCTCAACTCCTTGCTAGTCGCTAAGGCCCAGCATGACCTGATGCTTAAATGGTAAGCCTGCATCTGGGAGTCTCCAGAGAAAAGAAACTGACCCTTCGCTCAAAGCATTTACCAGAATAAGACTAAAAAATCTAGACCAGGGCTGTGGGGAAAGATAGACGTTACATATGTACATAGCAAGCAGGGAGAAAGAGCATGCATGTTAAAATGACACTTCTTATCGGCTCTCCTACCTTCTCCATATTGGTGTAATACAAGTCCTTGGCTGAAGCGACGGCAGCCAAGTTGTTGGCTTCAGCGGTTGCCTGCAAACAAAGATGATCATGTAAACAGTTCCACTTTCCTGCTCACCTCCTGCAGCAGCAAGCTTCTCCACGGCTGATGCCCCAAAACCGGGCATGTCATGCTCAGAGATGCCATCATAAGGACTAGCACCTTTGCTACTCAGAAAGCAAAAGGGAGATTCTGCAAGCCCCGCAATGCCGCACTCCCACCCCATCTCCTGTGCATCCCGCCCACTGAGGTATCACCAGTGCTGCAGAACGGGCATCCAGCAACCAGCACGAATGGGGGCCACCAAAGAAAGCCTACCGAAATCTTTGAGTGTGTCACACCTGTTCCAGGTTGGGAACCCTCGTAAGGGTCGCCTGCTTTCTGCTCAAGTCGGACCGTTGGTCCCACGAGCCCCAAACCACAGACGCCTGCTGGCTAAGGCTCACAGGCAGGGGTCTCCTGGACCGACCGAGGTTCCTTCTGCGCTCAAACACATGCCCAGCCCCTAAGCTGTGGCCCTACCGCAGAATACGAAAACAGGTCAAGTCAGGCCAGTGGTCTAACAACCCAATAATGTCCCTTTTGGCGAGTGAGGGCCTCTTTCCATCCTCCATTTATGGCGTCTGTTTATTCTTACACTGATTGTGGGTTTTGATTTAGCCTGGACTCGTACATTTAATAAAGAATAAATCAGACAATAAAGCTATCAGTCAACACATTGTTTTAATAACACAAAAGAGCAGAAACCTACGGAAACTTTGGTGCAAACACAAATCCTTCCAAGGAAGAGGGAGGGGGAAAGACTCCCCCCCCCACCCCAAATCAATTCCCAAGAGCCGCAGTTTTAGCTCCTCTTAGGCCAGCAAAGCTTACCAACAACATGGATTTTGGGTGCGGCAGGTCCTCCCCTTGATAGATCTTGATGTAAGCCTAGAGGAAGGCACAAGAAATAATCAGCGCTCTCTGCCTGTAACAGTTTGTTGGTTGACCCTAAAAGAAAAATTATTAACATGCTTTTCCTTTGGGATCCAGAAGTTACCATTTTGTGCATTTTTGGTTTCAGTTTGAAAGCTAAGATTCCAAGTTAAAATGTCCAGCAGAGAGAATTAAAATCCACTGAGGAAAGCTGTACTATTTTATTTATTTATTTTTTTAGGCCAAACTATTGTTACGTAAAGAAAAGTCAATGGGCCAAGCCTTGTTATTCAGATGTCATTCTCTTCCTAGTTTCCAGAAAGGTTCACCTTTCAATGACCTGAAAGCCATTCTTACATTGATTGAAACCTCCTAAGGGAAAATTTCAGCCAGAATCAAGGCTTTTCAAATGCAGCATTTTTCTTGGCTGAGGTGCTTTCAACTTGGGGTCAAACAAGATCCCACGGGCAACTAATGCTCGCTTTTGTTCATATTGGAATCTCTACCCATTGTGCTAAAAAAGGAAGGCATTTATCTTCAGTCTTTTAGCTGTCTAGAAGGGCATCTGGGTTCTATATGAAGCCACACTCAAAGAAGTGAGTTTGCTATAAGTATATAGAATCCACTCAGGGAAACACATCATTTATTTGGTAGCTTGCGAAGTTAAACCTGTCTGGGCAGGTTCAGATGACCACATGCAGTCCAAATCTTTTTTCCTGGCATTTAAGGAAAAAATAATTAGAGGCACACACCCTGAAGTACTCCAGCAAGCCCCGGCAGGTCACTTTGGAGCCGTTGATCTCCTTCTCCAATAGCTGGGCAGGATCCAGCACAAATGGGATGAGCTGCTTCAGCTGGTCTTTGAATTCATCTGCAATGTCTAAGCACAGAGATGGGAAAAGGTGGAAAAGGCCAAGAGAGAATGTAGCAGGCAAACTTTTTATTTATTTATTTGCTTATTTATTTTTCAATTTATATCCTGCCTTTTCCCTACAAAGGGCTCAAGGCAGCTTACATCATTCTCCTCCTCCAGCTTATCCCCACAACAACAACCCTGTGAGGTAGGCTGGGCTGAGAGTCTGTGATTGGCCCAAAGCCACCCAGTTGGCTCCATGGCTGAGCGGGGACCAGAACCCAGATCGTTTGAGTCCCGGTCCCATGCTCTTAACCACCACACCACACTGGCTCATGGAGGGGACGCAGAGCAAATGAAAATGACCAAATGAGACAATCCACAATTTCATCTAAGAGCACACAGCATATGGTGTTAGGCACAAACCTCCATTGAGAACATTATCATTATTCTGAATCAAGTTTCTAGTCCTCAGGATTGCAAAGCTACGTGGGTCAGACTAAATAACACAAAGGTCCACCGAGATGCCTCAGTGATTTGCCCAGTTCTTTACCCTTCCCCATAGCTATTACTAATGATGCACACAGTGGTAGGTTTTTTTTTTTACTGATGTATACAAAGCAACCTACCCCTCCCCACCAAAAAATCAACCTAATGAAAAATGAAGACGAACTATTACCTTAAGATTATAGCAAAACATCAGCACCAAGATGGGGAAGGTTGCAATTTTGCCATATCAAGAGTGCTTAATTAAGTTTATGGGTGAAATCTTGTGAGAAACACATTATGTAAAAGCTCTAAAGAGTGGGCTAATTTGAATAGAAACTGAAAAGGCTGCATTATAACCAAGTCAAACATTTGTTTGAACATCAGAAATGAATGGAAGGAAGATTTAGATCTACTGGTAGATCTGAAGTATTTTAAACAAAGGTTTCTGACTCCCAACTACTGAAGAGTAACAGCAAGAAAATAACTCTAAATTTTACTGCTGAAATGAAGATACGGGGTAATTAGGAATTATTTGTGTGTGTGGCAGCAAACAGCTGTAAGTTGTTCAGCTCAGAACCAATTCCTGGGCCCAAAATTACTTAATTCTAAGTGCGCTGCTTTTTCCATGAGTCTCCACCTGGTGCAGCACAAGGAGTAGAAAGGAAAAAACCAAAGGAGATGCCCAAAACGTGACATCTTCTTCCTGCTAGTCTCCATTTCTCCATGTTTAGGGATCTCTCCCAGCCCTACGTCTGCCCCACCAGTCAGCAGCCGCTGTCCCCCCCACAAAGGTGCGGTGCTTACCACTCAAGCGTCCATCGAAATTCGGGCTGGTGGCTACTCTGAGGCCCGGGTGTGGCAGAAGGAAGCAGTTGACGTGTGTGAAGCAGGAATGGATATGCTTCCGGACATTCTGGATTTCCTCGTGTTGGTGAGATCTTACCTGGGGATGAAAAAGGTGGAGACACGCCACCGTTCAGAGTGGGGAGAAAGCTGGGCAGGAGTCGGGAAACTGGTACCGGCTCCAGTTCACGGAGGAGAGGTGGCGCTGAGGTTTGACAGCCTGGCTGTGATGGGTTTGCTGCCAGGCTGCAACTCATCCACAGAGGGCTCTGTGCTGAAACCGAGACGCGAGGGGCCACTCTCAACCAGGCCTTCCACAGCTCGGTCTGTGTCTGATTTACCTCCAGCCGTTTCTCCAGGAAATGCATCCCACCGTCCAGGCCATACGGGTACTCGTAAGGAAAGCTCCAATCGCGGACCAGGAACATCAGAGTCTGCCAAGGAGGAGGTTCCAAAATTATTTCCAAAGGCAGCAGTGTAAATACCACGCTAAAAGCAAGCCCACTGGCCTTCACGGCCCAGCAACCTGCTTCCAATGGTGGTCAGCCCGAATGCTTCTAAGCAGCCCACATTGCAGGGTTCCCAGCAACGGATACTTTGCAGCATACTGACTTTGGAAGTAATGGGTCTCCATGTAAATATCCAAACTGATAACCGTCCTTTTGTTTAAAGTCATGTTTAAAGGATGAACCAACCTCTCAGTTTGGTCTCTCTATGTCTCGTTTTAAGTTGGGTTCACCCAAGATTTTCCACATTGCTTACCTGAAGTTTGGTTCTCCCTTAACTTTGGGATTTTTTTCTTTAAAAAAACTTTGTATGAAAATGTGTATGCATCCTTATGCACATTTCTTCTACGAGATGCATTTTGGGATGTGATTTTGCCTTATATGCATATTCCTAGCAAGCAATTTTCCCAGGATGATGCCTTTTCAAATATTTTCACTAACATATCCATTCCTAGAGTCACCCTTAAAATGATTTTATAAATTGTTTAAATAAATTTTATAAACAAAATGTACCTTTCTGTACACTGCTTTTGATTAGGTAATCCTACTGTGAAAATTTGAAAAACTGCACATTTCAAAGGATAACAAAGTTAGAAACTAATACTGGTTTCAAAGAGAAAAAAAGACCAAACCAATGCCTTTTCCATTCCTAACTAGTGTTTCTGTGGCAAGAAACTCATTAAGATAATTGAGCACTGGCTGATAAAAGTGCTTTATTTACTAAATTTTGGTCCAGTGCGACAAGGAATCTTGCAGTATTTTAAAGTCTAACAAATTTACCCTGGCATAAGATTTTATAAACTCTGCCTACTTTATCATATGCAGCCAAACTAATCAGATTAGGAAAGAAGGAAAAAAATCAGATTAGTCTAACAAAGAGTGGTTTGTTGATCTTTAAGGTGCCACAAGACTTTTTTCAGCTATGGACTCACATGGTTATCATGCCATAAACAGCTTTGCTTAGTTTCCTAAGCACTATCGCTAACCGTTCCTTCCAGTTTCAATGTTTATATTATCAGTTCTGTGCCTCTCGGCAAAGTAGCACAAGCAGGAGGTTACTGGTGTTCAGAAATGCAAACAATAATATAATCAGGCACTTAAGGACAGATGACAGACCAGAAGCAAATGAACGTGAGTAACCAGAAGATCTTCGCAGTGCAACGTAACTGCAACTATTATTTTAGAAACCTTGGCCTTTTTTCCTTGGTTTCTTCCCAATTTGACAACCTTTTTTAATTAGACCAGCCTTCCCCAAACTGACCACCCTCCAAATGTTTCGGACGACAACTCCCATAACCCCAACCTGTAGCCGTGCTGGGGCTGATGAGAGCTATAGTACAAAACATCCAAAGGGCATCAGGTTGCCGGTATTCCTCTCTCCCCACTGTATCTCCAATGCTACATCGGTACAGCTGCTCTCAAAATTTCGTAAGCCCAAGTCAGGGCTGAACACGGGATGCGAAAAACAGGGCCCTAAACTTTGTGCGCGCGCGCACACGTGTGTGTGTGTGTGTTCGTGTTCTCTCTCTCACACACACCCCCCCCACCTCTGTTCAAACCCATACCTGGAATGGCTTGAGGAAGATCTCATCCATGGCTAGGCGTCCATATTCTGTGAAGAGCTAAAAAAACAAAGGACATATTCAAAGCTATCCTTAAAACCACATGACTGGCATAACTTAAGGCTTTTTTTCTCGGGGAAAAAAATCACAGGAAGCCTAAAATGGGAAGCAGTGCAGGATACGAGAACGAAGTAAGACGTTCTCTATATGGCTGGCCACCTCCCCGGCTTTTTCCCCTGGAAAGCTCCGGCTGGTTACTGCCTCTTAGAGGGGGATCAGAACTGCCACACAGACATCTCTGGCTCAACTATGATTTCTCAGGATTTTATAAGCAACAAAAATCTGCCATCACACCAGACAGGTGTGGCATTCCAAGATTTGAGAGGCAGAAACAAAAAACCTCACACCTGAGTTTGTGGAGAAGTTTGCATATAGACTGAGATGAGCTCCCATAATCCTGCTCTTCAACCTCATTATTCCAAGGAGCACAAGCTCTTCTTGGCACCTGCTTAGCCGCCCCCCCCCCTTCAGGGCACGTCCTGGGGTGCTGTTATACTGCAGGGCCCGCCTTCAGGGGCCAGGGCTGAACCCACTCGAGCGCATGAAGCTAAGAGCTGAAAACGGCCAGCAGAGCAATGAGATAAATCGCATAAACAGCTGGAAGCGGGTGTCGCAAAGAAGCTGAATTTTGCATCTACTGCTACAGATGAGCAGAAAGCACACCAGCCACGTTTAAGACAGGGGTTTGTGCCAAGCATGTCGCATGACGCAAGAGAAGATACTTTACAGGTAGCCTTCTCCTCCTACCTGCAGCTGCTGCAGATCATCTTCTTGAATATTCTGGGATAAGTTGTAGATCTGAAAAGGACGGACAAGCTGACTGTCCCAAAGCGACTTACCCACAATGCCACAGCAGCCTTGTGCCACAAAGATTTTTATGTCCCCTCGTTTCACGCCTGACTTGCTCCATGCCCAACAGGGAGAGATTTAAGTTGACATAAACAGGCATCCCCTTCCCCCCAGGCCCCCAGGTTAGCTCTGGAGGTGCCGGTCATGGGCCAGCCTCTGGAATCCATCCACCACGACAGACAAGGCCTTCTCAGTGGTGGCCCTGCTTGGTATACCGCTCTCCAACAAGGAACGCTGTGACCAACCCTAGCCATGCCCCTTCCTCTCCCGTTGAAAAGGACAGATCCACTCAACCCGGTGCAGGTGGGTCAGCGGGTCTCCGGCAGGAACTCCAGTAGAGAAAACAGAACCAGGCGGCCACTTACCTGGACCGAACTTGTCATGGTGCTGAGCGCAAAGATGGTGGCACAATCCTTGACCGTCGATTGGCTGTCAAAGGCTCCCTGCGTGTCCATCAACACAACGGCCACCTGCGTGCATGGGCCAAGCACATCAGAATCAAGAAACAGCGCCAGGGCATCCTCGTTGCCGCAATCCGAGCCCCAACGACCGTTTCCCTGGGCTCAGCAAGAGACCACGACCCGATGCTCAGTTAAGCCAGAGGTGAGAGACATGTGCCTACCACACCACTGGATTTCTAAGTATTCCCCCCGGAAAATGGGGAATTTCAGCAGAAATATGCTTCTCCCTCCTCTCCAGAGCACCCAGTTAGCAGACTGGAGTGGGGGGAACAGTTCTGCTGGGAAACAAGACACACGCTCCCAGTCTGGCATGCTTCCGAGAAGCCTAAAATGTCTGGGAAAATTATTGTCCTCACTTGGCGCCGACAAGAGTGCAGTGATGGCACCAGGCAAGCCTTTTGGGGGAGCTCCTTCCCAGCTGGGGCGCCACAGTCAAAGAGGCCCTCTTTTTAGTCATCTCCCACCTGGCCTCCTTTGGGGGAGGCACCCCAAGGCGGCCCATCTTTGGCCTTCCCAGGGGGGGAAGGAGGAGCCGAAGGAAACCCAAGCAGCCAAGCTGAACCATGAAGCGGTAGCCAAACCGGCTCCAACAAGCCAGAGCTGAGCTGGGAGACACTTCAGCCTCCAATCCGACTGCTAACCCCACTTTTTACCTTCTTTCCGCTCGGTTTCTCCACAATAAACACTTCGCTCCAGATCTGGATGCCGGTGGTTTCGGGATCGGATCCCCCTCGCCAGGAGAAGCCTGTCAGGGGCTCATCCTTGTCTCCCAGCCACTCGGTGCCGCTGCCTTCCTTCTGCAGAAACAGAGCAAAAGGGTTGCTCTTTACGCCAAGCCCCGGCTGCAGTTCAACTCATCTGCAAGCAGCTGGGTTAGCCAAGTCTGGCCTACAGCACGGCTCAGCCTCACACGTCCGCCTCGAGGAGCAGGAGAACAAAAGCTTGTTCTTTGTTCTGAAACTGAACTTCCACGTCCAGTTCTGGAGCAAGTGTCCGGCAAAGTATTCAGGGAAACATGGCTCTTTGCAAAACTCGCTATGTCAGTGAGGCAAACCTTGGTTGGAAATTTGCATGCAGAAAATGGGATGGTCTAAACCCATCCAAAAGGAAATGGGAGGACAGTGGGTGATGGAACAAGATAATGTAAGAACCTTGGGACCGGGGACCTAATTTTCACTCCTAAGCACCAGGGATCGGAGGTGTCATAGCCTGGAAAAAAGACTCAGCAAATATGAAAGTGGGGAGACAGGAAAACATCTGGGGAAAAGGTTCATTTTGAGAAATTTCCAAAGATCTCTCGGAAAATGTGGCTTTTAAAAATAGAAATCAGTTTCTTCTATTTTTTTTCCAGGCCTTTGCGTCTTATGGGAACTGGCAGGTGCAGTGTTTAGATTATAACATTTCTTGCATATTTCTGGAGCTCATTAGTGAAGAAAGGGTCTGATTATGATTGACATAATGCATCGGACCAAGAGGCAGGCCCGGAAGGAAAACCCTCTGTACCAGCTTGCCAAAGGGTGGAAAACAGCACCAAAGCCTCACCTGCGTGTACAGGTAGCGCAGCAGGAAGTCCAAGAGGAACGATTTGCCCTTGCGGAAGGCCCCGGCCACGGACACCACCACCACGTCGAGGTCGCGGATGACATCCTGCAGCAAGACGCGGCTCAGCGCCTTCTCGTCCAGCTCGAAGGAGTGCTGATCCTTGTGAACCAGCACGACCTGTACCGGGCCTGGCCTTGCGCCCGACATGGCATCTCCACCTGCCCAGACAAGACCAATTCACACGGCTTATTTATCCCATGCATTTCTATCCCGCCTTGTCCCTGAGCAACTCTAAGGGACAGACACCCCCCCCCTCTCTCTCTGCACTCACAACAACCCTGTGAGGTAGGTTCTGCTGAGAGCCAGTGACTGCCCCGTGGTCGCCAAGCGAACCTTGGGACTTGAACCCGGGTCTCCCCAGCTCAACACTCGAACCATTACAACGCTCTGGATCGCTAGCGTAGACACAAAGGGCCAGCAGATGTCATTTTCTGAAAACACACGGATTCTTGCTGGATCTACTGAAAGTCGATCCCTTGGCAACACCGACGCGGACACACAGATCCTCACGAGAAACCAAACTGTGCAAACCAGGAAAGGGATGAATTCGAATTCAGGAGCTCACGCACACAGCCGTCCCTCTTCGTCCATCTGCGCACGGCCCACTGGTCAGGCAAGGATCCACAGTCCCATGGCTTCGGCCACCCCACCGCCATGCAAGGACCCCCCCCCCCCCGCGTGAGCAGAATTCCTGAGAGATCAGACAGGGCTTAGAGGCAGCATCCAGCAAACGGACAGGCGGCTACTGGAGGGCTGGAGCTCCCGCCGCAGTCCCGGCTGCTTGTCTGGGGCTGTCATGAGCGTCCAACCCTGGGTCCGGAGGAGGATCAAAAGGCAGCATTGCCCCAGGTTTTCATCTCCAACAGTCCAAGGAGAACTTAACAATCCCGTCACCGTGGCAACTGCAGCCCAAGGGCTCCCTGGGATGAATTCCAAGAAAAGGACCACTGGCCCTTTTCCTTATTACCTGTTTCTGGGATTAACACTCTGTGCTTTCCAGGTTGAAAGCATCCCGGCAGGCACACAAGCAAGATTGCTCTGCCTCCGGCAGGCATACATTCAACAGGTGCAGTTTCTCCCAGTACCAGATGATGGCAAAAGCTCACTGGAAGCTTTCCGTCAGAACTGAAAGGTGCTTTCCCCACCCCATTTTGTATATCCCTCTAAATTTTGTTCTTCTTGCTTCTTTGGGACATGAAAAAAAATAGGATTCCTTTGCAAACATGGGGCACCTGCCTCCTCTTGGATCTGCCTGGTGTAGATATTACTGAATTACCATAATCCTTGGAAACCTCCAATTTCCTGCCTGGAGAATTTAATATGCCACCAGCCCTTGCACCAGAGCAGACCCCGGAAGGAAATTAAACACCAGCAGCCAGAAGAGAGGGGCTGAGTAAGCCAGAGGTGCATGGATTTAGGATGAAACCGGCTGTGCACGCGGAGGTCTACAAGCTGCCATGATGGAGTTACTGAGAGCAGAAATGAGTAACGTGTGGCTCTCTGAGGACGCCGTTTCCGGAACTAAACCCACAGCTTGCCAACTAAGCCTTCCTGGGGCAGCACATGGCACAAGTTCCACTGCAGAAGCGAGGAAGAACCAGAGGAAACAAGGGCAGCCACGTGTGCTGGTCAAGAGTGTCAGATCAGGGCCGGGGAGGCCCGGCTCTCCATCTCCAGAAATCCTAAGACTTGTTGGGTGATCCTGGGCCCGTTGCAGGAACGTTGAAAGTGGCCTTCGAGAAAGTCAGCCTATTGCATCAAAATCCGGGCCATCTTATTTTAGGAATATGCAACCAGGTGCCTGCCAGCTGTTTTGAACTACAGCTCCCATAATCCCCAATGTCTGCTAGGCTGACTGGGGCTTCCGGGCATCAGCTGCCCAGACATCTGGAGGGCACCTCTGTCCTAGAGAAGGATCCCCAGAGCTTCTCCATGAAACCTTCAGTTTTAGGAACATGTTTGGCAGTTGGTCGGAAACTAATTTTTAGCCATGACTAAAATTTGTATTTTGTAATTTTGTATTTTTAATTTTGTATGTAATAACTTCCATGTGGCCCTGTTGTGTTTTCGCTAACACCCGATCCCTCTCCACTCTGTCATCCCAAAAAGGACCCTTTTTAGCACAACGTTTTTGGTTATGGGGCTGCCCCAAATCAGCCACTTCTCTGCCATTTGCAAGCTCCTCCAGCTGGAAGAGGGAACTGCAGAAATGCAGTGCAACCTTTTTTCCTTTCGCAAAGGTTGTCATAAGCTTTCCTGAGCTGTTTTCTTGGCAAGCTGCATGCTTGGAACAGAGCTTTACACCCTCCCCAGAAATGCAAACTTCCGTGAAAGGAAAAAGGCATCACCACACACACCCAAGCCAAGAAAAACAAAACAAAACAAAGCAAAAAAATACACACTCACATAGCAGGCAGCAGTTGGCTGGCAGGGCTTCTGGTGTGAGTCAGAAACCAAGACCACTCCCTGCCTTCCACATCTCAGAATTCAGGCCTGTGTTGCAACTGGCAGCACAAGGATCTTGTCTGGAAAGGAGGCCATTTCACTGCCTTCCCTCTGCTTCTGCTTCACAGGCCCTGGGCAAGCTACTTCCCATACGGATTGTGACCATCCACCGGTTGGTCCAACCCCACTATCCCACTTCACAAGCCACGGCACAAAGGCGACAGACAGCAACTGACATTCCAAGATACACTGCTTCCGATCTTGGAAGCTCTCCTCACTGATCATACCATCAGCCACTGGATCTACCTCTCCTCCTCCGGGAGTTTAATCTACTCCCGTTTTAAGCACTACCTCTGCAGTATGGTTTCCAGGCAATTTCCACCAAAAATCGGTGGTCAAGGATGCCTACAATAAAATCCCAATTAAAAAAGAATCTCAATTAAAGCATAACATAGGAACAAATATGCTCAAAACACAAATAGTAAGCAGAGTCCCACCCATCAAATTTCAGAGAGTCAGTCGTGTTAAGACCATTGCAACAAAAATTTGCTCCCAGAACCAGCCAACTTATCCCAGTCCATGAAGGTTTGGCAGAGCAAATTGCTTAGAAAGGTACCTCTGGGGTCAGCGGCTTTCCCAGCCGCTTGAAAACCCACTTTTTCCTGTAAGAAAGGCTCTTCCCCCACTCCATTTTATGCTTGCCACAGCCCCCCCCCCCGAGGTGCATCAGGCTAGGGGTAGGCTGGACTGGCCCGAAGTCACCCTATGAGTACCATGGCCTAGTGGGGATTCGAACTCGGGTCTCTCAAGTGCCAGACCAACCCCTGAACCACTCAGCCATACTGCCTCTCCCAGGTAGGCCATGCAGACCAGAGCTCTCTTCTCCAGGTCTTTGCTGCCGCCTCCTGGCATCTGCCTCACCATGCGCAGTGACAGAGCCAGCCCGCTGCCCAAACCCACCCAGTGGCAATGAGCCCCATATTTTACTCCTGCTGTTCCAGCCCACCCTCCCCTGGCATTCAAACACATGTTTTAAAATACTTATTTACGTACAACAGGTGTGACCAAGGCCCATTCTACTAAGTAAAAGCAATCAGCATAATAAAGCAAAGACGGCAAAGCTGCAAAACACCAAATCGCACAGGACCCAACCTTCCCCAAATCAGGAGCCTACCAAATGTGCTGGACTACAACCCCTATCATACCCAGACAGCATGCTAGAAGATGGAGCTGCAGTCTAGCACATCTGCAGGGCGACAGGAGACGGCCTATGCAACCAAAATTCACACACCTGGGTGTTAGAAAAATTCTTTCTTTTTTTTAAGCATTGGCTGTATCGTAACATCAGTCATATTGAGTGAAGCATTCCACAACTTCACCAAAGAAAAAGGACCCCTCCTTGTTGTGACATAACGCACTTCCCTTGGCGGGGACACATCCAAAAGGGCCCCATGGAAACTTCTAGGACATCTCCCCCAAGCTTGGAGTTGTAGTAAGACTGCAACTCCCATCTTCCCCACCAGCAGAGAGCTCTAAGTAACAGGCCAGTGTGGCTTTTTGAATCCCAGTTAGCAAGAGCAGCAGCTTAAAAACATTTCCCACCCACAAAATCCGGTTGTTGAACACCTGAAAGAAGGGCTGGCCAGGAGTTTCCGCTTGTGTGAGAAGTTCCAAGAGGCTGGGTGCGGCTGCATTCACAAATTCCTGCTTACCAGGTGACTTCCAACCAGTCACTCTCTAGCCTACCCTGCAGGGCTGTTGTGTTGTGAGGATAATGTGGAGAGGGGGGTTCATGAAAGCTGCTTCAGGTAACTTGCAAGGAGAAGGTGAAATAGAGATGGAAAAAAGAAATGATTTATCTGGCCTAACCGAGCAGTGCAAACCAGAGTGTGATTGGGAAATACGTTGAACAACTATGCGAGGCATCCACCTGCAGAATACTGCCGAACATCGAACAGGAACATGTGCAAAGAGAACTCCACCTCCTTCGCAAGGCATTTCTGAGGCCCAGGCTAAGCACAAGAGCTGTTTTTTTTACAAAGCAAGGCGCGGAACGAGCCACAACAGTCATCAAACAGTAATCGATTAGCTATCAGACACTTTGCCCAGACACACCGTGCCGCCTCCCGAGTTTCCTAGGCTGAAACCTCGTGCACGCTGCCCCAGAAGTCATCCCGGCTGGCCTGAGCAATGCGTTCGCTGGAGCACACACGTGCTGTCGACAGGCAGAAGTAAAGTGCAGAAGGTTCCCAAACCGCTGGAGGAAAGATGAAGCAACCGGTGGAACGAAAAAGGGAGCGCCCATTACCTGTGGGCGTTGATGAAGAAGCCTTTGGGGAGGGGGCTTTGGGCCCCATTTCTCCATCCTTGCATTGCATTCCACTAGGATCCCTCACTCCGTCTGCATGGGGGGGAATAACCCAATGCACCCTCTCTTCTTTCCACAGGGAATCCTTTCCAAGGCCTACCCACGGGGCTAGGCTAGGCTTTCTGCCTGAAACCCCGGCTGCCAGCCTGTGTTGACAATACCGGGTTAAACGGACCCCATCGCCAGACCTGATACAGGGAAACGCCCTGTGTTCCTCCATAAGCCGCTCCGAAATGGGATGCTGTGCTCCCCCAGCCCTCAAGGTGGGTTCACACCTGTCCCCCCTCCAGGAGGGAAAAGACCCCATCGAAAAGTGAGGATTGAGCAGCACCATCCTTTCTGGTGCAGCGAGAGGGCAGCAGTAGCCCCCAAACCTTTGAGGACTGCAACTCCCCTCAGCCTAGTCCATGCTGGTGCAGACCCACGGCGTTTGGAGGGCGATACACCCCCTGCAATCAAACAATCGACGCCCTCTTGCTCTGCTGTTCTTGGGGACCCAACCCCTCCACACCCCAAGGAGAGGGTTGGATGCCCTCTTTTGCAGGAGGGGGTGCGGGTCAACCGTGTCGGATCACTGGATCCCTGTCCGGCGCTCCAAGGCCACTCCTAATTAACCAAGCCTAATTAACCTACAGGCAATCTCGTGCCATTTACTCCAGCGCACAGACTCGCCCCATGCGTGTCCCCAGAGAGGGTCGCCATTCGAGAGGGTCGCCATTCCAGGGGGCCCCCTTGCACCCTGCCCCACAGCTCTCCCACCCCAGAGAGGCTCCCGCCTCCCCCGCCACACCGTCCTCGCTCCTCCATGGGAGAAGCCGCACCCTCCGGCCCTGGGGCGCCCCCTGGTGGGGAGCGCCTCATACTCCGGGCAAAGAAGGGGGTTCTTACCGGCTGCGTCCAGCTTCATACCACTCGCAGCCGCCGCCGCCAAAGGAATGACACGAAGCCGCCGCCGCCGCCTTCTTCCCGCCCCCGTCCCATCCCCGTTCGAGGAGGAGCCGCCGCCGCCGCCGCCGGAATGAAGCGCGGGCCAGAGGCCGGGAAGCCGGGCGGTTCGCGGCGCATGCTGGGGGTGGGAGTCCGTCTCCGTGCAAGAGCCTGCCAAAGGGAGGCAGAGCGAACTACCACGCCCAAGTCGCCACGCGAAAATGGCGGCGGGCGTTCCTCGGTGGGTGGCAGTTGCATTTCGGGAGATGTAGTTCAAACGCCCGGAATGGGCGAGTCCTGCCGCAAGGCCGCCGCCATGCTTGGGCCGTCACTGGGGGGGGGGGAAGAGAGCGGGCCTCCGAGAGCATGCTGGGGGATGTAGTCCGTTTCGGCTCTTAAACGCGCACCCGGGAATTCCCAACCCAGCAGCTCTTTGGGGCAGAGAGCTTAAGCAAAGGCGAGACAGGCAAAGCTCGCCCTAATTAATTTCTGCCTGTCAGGCTGCTGAAAGCACAGAAGCAGGGAGTGCGCGGGGAAGTCGGCGACTCCGCTGGCAGACTGAGCTGGAATGCTTGCAATCCATCTGCGATAATGGCAGGAAAACATTCACGGAGCTCAGAAAACGATTCGTGTGACTTCCGTTCTTTCTTATCAGCCTTAGCGGTATTATGACAAAGTGCTTGTATTGCAGGTGTTAAGTATATTTAACTCTGAGTGCTTTATCTGATTACTACTATTTCAATGCATTATTCCTATTCCACTATCTGACATATTATTATAACATTTCTATGCCGCCCCTTGCGGAAGCCTCGGGGCAGCTTACAACACAATAAGATACATTCAGATACAATAGAACATAATAAATTACCACTTAAATACAAAAATACAAAAAATACAGAGATACAATAATATAAAGTTAAAATTAACAGTATAAAATAAGTAAATATTATTATTATAACATTTCTATGCCGCCCCTTGCCAAAACCTCAGGGCGGCTTACAACATAAAATACATTGAAAGAATAAAGAATATAGGAGGAGAAAAGAGAAGGAAGAAGAAGTTGTCCTGGCCAGATCATATATTTTAACAATTAAAATGATGTTTAAATAAAAAGATCTTTACCTGGCGCCGAAAAACCAGTAACAACGGTGCCAGGCGGACCTCTTTGGGGAGTGAATTCTATGTAACTTGTAAAGAAAATGATATATTCACGGTGGATTTTTATTATTTACTTAAAAATTTGTATGCCCTCCATTACTGTCATCTCTGGACAGCTTACGTTATTTCAGACTTCAATAAAATAAGATAAATGAACTATTCCACACCAAGCATCATTTAAAATAAAATAGCAATTTTAATTGTGAAATGAAAATGTGTGTGAAAATATTGGCCAAATAAAAAGCCATTTTTTAAAAGTGATGGCTTTAACGATAAACCAGTGTTGACAGCCATGTCCCTCCCCTTTCCTCAAGGGTCCCCCCACTAATGTACAGATCTGACTACTGTCACTCATTCTTGGATTAGACTACTGTAATTTGTCCCATGCGGGGCTGCCCTTGGAAACTGTGCAGAAGCCACAGTTAATCCCCATTGGCACTGCTGGTTCTCTTTCCACATCCAGATGAGCAAAATTATGGTAATACTTATTCAAAACCAGATTGGAGGTGGGACTTCATTATTTACTGGAACTCCAAGAAGGACCAGCCAGGGCCGATTCACAGTTCTGGTTATCCTAAGTACACACAGAATTAAAGAAATCTGGTCCTGGAGTTTGCTTTAGATACCAAAACTGAGCCAAGCTCAGTTTTTCAACACACCAATCCACTCTGGTTATCCTAAGCTACCTTGACTTCAGCAATATAATTTAGGCTGGGAAAGGCATTTTGTTTCTACTGTAGCTCAAAATTTAGGAGCTGGAAGCCCTCCAGTGATCTGCCAGTCCACGCAAATTTGTTATACCTACCCCAGTTCTGAACTCTTTCACCGATTACTGGTTTGTTTCTAGGTGCAATTCCATCTCCTTTTCTCGACTTGTTATTCCAGATTTTAGGAAAACTTTGTCATACAATTTCCAGAGGGGCTTTACCATACCATGAAAGTCCTGCCCCAAGTTACTTTAAAGATCTGTCCTAGGTATGTTTACTCAGAGCTCTCTAAGCTCCAGAGGACTAAAATTCTCATGTGCCTAGAATTGCAGCTTTAAGGAAGTTTATGTATGTATTTATTTATTAAAACATTTCTATGCCACCCCTTGCCGAAGCCTCAGGGCGGCTCACAACACAAAATACAATAAAATACAAAAATATAAAATTAACAATATAAAATAAATCACAATATAAAGTTCTGATATCGCCCACCATCAACAGGGTCTTTCTTGTGGTGACTGGAACTGCAGATGCCTTGCTTGTGTCCATCACTTCGAGACAGTTTTCTGCAGTGAAAAGCAAAGCCTAAATTTAATAAATAGGCATCTTGTGGGCTTCTAAAAGACAATGACACTGGACTAGGCTAATCAAACATGACCCTTCCCATAAAAAAAAAAAGAGCTGAACACAGGAATTGACTTGCATGGAAATAAATTATTGGTCCTTCTATCTAAATAGAACAAACGAAAGAGGCATGCAAAGAGAGGGTTAAGGAGGCCTTTTATATCCATTTAGAAGTACAAAGTGGAAAAAATGGTGCTGGAAATGAAGATAAGGGCTCAACAGGGAAATTTGATTACACATACTTTGGCTCCATTGCAAATAGCAGATTAAGGCTGCAAGGATGGAGCCAAAGACTTCCCGGAAGAGACGGGCAGTTACACACAAGGGTAATGACACAAAAGGAGAAATTTCAAGGACCGTTCGTGATGTGGGGAGAAGGGTACAAACAGCCTGCTTTAGCTAAGAGATGCCGGGGACCCTTTGCAAGGTCTTATTTAAGGTATAAAGCACGTTTATCCTGCTTCTCAACTGTAACAGTTCCCAAAGCAGATTGCATGCAATCAGAAATTCAAGGCAGCCTTAAGAATGGGAAAAAACTCAGCTACATCAGGCCAGCAGTCCATATGTACGTACAGTATAAAGCAAAGCATATTGGGGCAAAAAGTCCTTTTTTTAGTAAAAGCTGAGAGGGTCTCAGCTACAAAGGGATTTTGGGGGGAGGGGTGGACAGCTCAATGGAAACACCAACCCAGTGTACAACTCCAATTTGGAATTGGGAATTAGGAAAGGTCCTGAATATAACTCTACCAAGATCAGGCACCCCTTACACACACTTCTGGTGTGACCGCACCTAGAATATTGTGTTCCGTTCTGGGTACCGCATCTGAAAAAGGGCAAACACAACAACTGAGGTGTTGGAGCAATTCGCATAGGTCAGAGTCCAGGGTGTGGGCCTAAGGAGACAGGAAGGCAGAGTGGGGCCCAGGCAACGAAAGTCAAGGCAAGGCAGCTGCAAACACGGTTCAGCCGGGTTGGAGGCAGAGTCCCGGCAGAGAAATGGGCCAAAGGGCGGAGCCGGGCCTATAAGGAAGGCTGAGCACCGAAGGACTGAGGCCTTTGAACTGCGGTGCTGGAGGAGACGCCTGCGAGTCCCTTGGATCACCACCAGGTGATCAACTGGTCAGTCCTAGAGATCAACCCTGACTGCTCCTTAGAAGGCCAGATACTGAATGTGACGCTCAAATATTTTGGCCATATAATGACAGGGGAAGACTCATTGGAAAAGCTCCTGATGCTGGGAAGGATTGAGGGCAAAAGAAGGAGGAGACGGCAGAGGATGAGGGGGCTGGATGGGGTCCCTGAAGCAGTCAGCGTGAGCTTGGGTGGACTCCGGGGATGGTGGAGGACAGGAAGGCCTGGAGGAGTGTTGTCCATGCAGTCACAATGGGTTGGATGCACCTTCACAACTAACAACCATCAAGAAATGGAAGGACAACAAACCCAACAAAACAGAGAGTAGGTACTTACGACAGGATTTGGATGCAGCAAAGGTGCAGCAAGCAGAGCAGGAATGGGATCAGGAGACATTTAGGCCGGCGGCAGGAACTGAACCACTGGAGGGAAGAGCTGCATTACTGAAAAGCTACTGCCCCGCAGAGCCTGCCCTAATATAGGGTGGCTTGCAGGGCCCACAGCTGGTGCTCATCAGGAGGCTGAGTGCTCCCCAGGGACCCATCCTGCAAGTACTGCTGTAGGCAGGCCTGGTTTCTATTCGATTGATTAGATGCACTTATTGATTAGCATAATGCTCTGGCCACCAGATGGAGCCCCAGCTGCCCAGATCCTAATGCCCAATGAGGAATAGCTACACCAGCTGAGATGATTTAACTTGGAAACAGGCGGAGTCAGAGGAGGTGGGAGGTATATATACTTACACCAGATGGGGAAGTACTTTTCTCTGCATCCCCAGTGCAGGAAGCGAAAGAGGCTGATGCTGATGAGTGGGAGGCTTGGGAAGAGGAAAAGGAAGAATGTCTTGGTGTGGTGTGTGGTGGTTAAGAGCGTGGGCCTGGGACTCAGGAGGGCAAGGTTTGAGTCCCTGCTCAGCCATGGAGCCAACGGGGTGACTTTGGGCCAGGCCCAGCCTCCCTCACAGGGTGGTTCTTGTGGGATGAGACCGAGAGCGGCCGGAGGAGAATCGTGTAAGCTGCTTCAAGTTCTTTGTAAGGAAAAGGAGGAATATCCATGTAATACATTGTCAAATTATGGCATTTGCTTCCACCAGATGTAGCAGTGGCCATCCATTTGGACAGCTTTAAAAGGGGGCTGGCACTTTCCAAGAGGAAGAAGCTGCTAGAAGAGTTGGCTGGTAGGCATCTCTGGACAGCAGAGACCATGTGCCTGGGTGCTCCACTTGCCAGGGAACGGTGGCAAGAGTGGTATGTACACATGTCCTGTTTGTTTCTGTCGAGACCTCTAGCACATGAACAAAATACTGGACTGCCTGGATGTTGGTTTGATCTTGCAGGACTCTTGGGCACCATGTTGAAGACTGAATCACTCCTGACTCATCTCTGCGGGAGGGAGAAGGGGCATCAATCATTTCGGACAGCAAAATACCTTGTCCAGTCCAGGGTAGGAGTCCTTCAAAAGTCTGCAAGGAGCAGAGCTTGGATTGCCTGTCATCACTTCCTCCTGATTGTGTATCTCCCAACTAAGTAACTTTGTAAACCCGCCATAATTCTACTTGCAGTTTTCATGTAGTATTTAAAAAAAATATCCTGCACTGGTTTGACAGAACACATTTATTTAAATTAAATCGGTAACGTGCAATAATAACAGCCACTTCAATGAAAACCTATGGAATTCACTCCCCAGAGAGGTCCGCCTGGCTCTGTCGTTACTGGTTTTTTGGCGCCAGGTAAAGACCTTTTTATTTAAACATCATTTCAATTGTTAAAACATATGATCTGGCCAGGGCAACTTCTTCCTTCTCTTTCTCCTCCTATATTTTTATTTTATACTGATAATTCTAATTTTATATTTGTAAATCAATGTATTTTTTGTATTTTTGTATTTAATGGTAATTTATCATGTACTATTGTATTTCAATGTATTCTATGTTGTAAGCGGCCCCGAGGTTTCGGCAAGGGGCGGCATAGAAATGTTATAATAATAATAAATGTTTGGGAAATATAAGGGGAATATATTTGGGGGGGGAAATGTAAGGATAAATATAAGGGCGGGGAATGCTTCCTTCCGAGTTCTCTGTTAAGGCTTCGAAATGTGAGTCAAAGCCGCTTGTAAAAAATTATAAAACGCCCGCCCGTTCCTGTTTCACGTTTATTTTGTCTACACTACCGTTACTGAACAGGTACGGGCGGGCGCTCATTAACGTAACAAGCGAAGAGGAGAGCACGCGAGAATAGGCCGGCTAATACGCATGCTCAGAGCCCGGCTTCAACAAACAGCCCGCCCCAAGCCCCGCCCCCACGACACTCCCTTGCCAGAGAAAGGAGCGCCCGACATGCTCCGCGGGCGTGCTCGTTAGGCGTATTCGACTTCATCTTCTTGCTTGTTACAGTCTTCTAATTGCGCCTGCGCTGGCACGCAGTCGGACACGCCCATCCCGCGGCGCGACTGCGCAGTACGCTAGTCCCCCCCCGCCCCTAGTGCCGCGCGTGCGCCCTCGCCGCCCTCCGTTTTGTCAGTCAGCGCCTGTCCGTTGACGGGGACGGTCGCTTGGAGGAGGTTTCCCGCCGCCGATCTTGCCTCTCTCCCGCCGCCTCCGTCGCCGCCGTAGACGAAATGGCTGAGCCCGCCACCCAGTCCCCGTTCATTTCTTCCTCCGCCGGGGGCGGCTCTTCCGAGCCGGGAGGACGAGACCTCAAGGTGGCAGGTTCCCCTCAGTCTTGCGCTGGTAAGGGTTGGGAGGTGGTTTGAGAAGGAACAGCCGGGGGAGGGGAGGGGGTGGTGCTTGGTGGAGGGAAGAGCCTGCAGGGTGGTGGGCACGAGGCGGAGGGCGGGGGGAGCCGTGGAGGCTGCGCAAGGTCCCGAAGGGCTCTGGGTCTCCGGCCCGCCGGACGAGCCACAATGCTCTCATTTGCATAGGCGAAAGTGCAGATTGCATAGGCTGGATTTGCGTGTGTCTTTGCATGCGCAACTTCTAGGCTGTGTGCATGTGTCTTTCAAAGGCCCTGTCTGCTAGCGACACCCGTATCTTTATACAGGGCCCCTGGAGGGCAGGGCATTGGGCTGCGGCACAGAACCTCGGGCAGGAGGATTCATGGGGGAGCAACGGAAAGGAGAACGCGTGTGGGTAAAAGGCCAGCTAACGCAGGGGCTCGGGTGCCACGGATCCGCTGGGTCCTTGCACGCTTCTGTCAGCGAGTGCCCTTGCACCGCGGGGTGGTGGGGCAGGTGCAGGGCTTCAGACCTTAACGCTGGATGCCAGTCGAAGCCCAGGGAGCCCCGAATCAATGATTTCTCTCCACGGGTGTGTCAGCTTGCTCTGGCTGGATACGAAGTGAGGAGAAGCGCTCGGGCCCCATTGTATGGCAGCTTGCAGGAAGGGTTAAGGGAGTCCTTTCTAAAGGCCGAGGACCTGTCGTCTTAAGGATTGGATATGTGACCTGTGCAAGCTTTTTGAGCTGCGCAGAGCAGAAGGGGGTGCTGCAATCCGGGAAGCAATTGTGGGGGCAGTTCAGATAGTGCTTTTGTTGAGATGTGACAGTGCAGTCCTGCGCGTACCTGCTTGGAAGTCCTGCGGTGTTTAACAAGATTACTCCCAGGTAAGTGCATATAGGATCATGCCCTAAGTCAGGCTAAGGTGAATCGGGGTTCTTGGTGATGTGAAGTTTTTGAGTTTCCTGAGTGCCGTTCTTAGTAGAAAAGAGGGTTATAAATGCATAATTACAGTCCTTCAGGGTGGCCAGTATAAGAAAGCGAGAGAGGAGCGTACAGAACAAGGGAAATGGCAGGGAGATGTGGGGTTTGGTGAGGGGAGCAGAACCATCCAGGGAGGTGGGTGTGAGGAAGCATCGCTCAAATTGAGGTAGCGCTTTCCTACAGCAAAACAGGCTTGAGTTAAGAGAATGTCTACCATTACCGCCCAGTTTGAGAAGGCCAGAGCTGCTAATGTGGTGTGCACACTTTAGAGTTACACAGATCCCCTCTTCCTTAAGGCTGAAGGTTGCAATCACAATTTCACATGGGGGGGATAGCTATTTCTTGCTGGAATTCAGGAGTGGGCAGTGTTTATAACCTCACAGGACAGACCTTTGCACACTTACAGTGAGCATCCAGTTGCAAGAGCACATTCTGTGCAACTCTGAGGCTGACCTTTGCACAGCTGGGCATCCGGTGATGGGTGCTTTGTCTCTGCGGAAGAATCCATGAGAAAGGGAGCCAAGTCAGACTGCTTGGGCAGGGTGCCCACGGTCAAGGAGAGCAAGGGTGTGGTGGCAAGGGATGAGGACAGGGTGGCGAGCCTTCATAATGTGTTGCCTGGAGACCTGCAGCCCAGATACATGTGAGATGCAGAGGGGCCGGTGTGTGGGGCAAATGAAGGTTACAGTGCCAGCAGGGCCACGTCTGGCCAAGGCGAAATGAGGGCTGAATGGCTTGGACCCGTGGCGGGATGGGGCTGGAAGGCAAACAAGATAAGGGGCACCTTGTGCTGCAGGAAAAACCTGTATTCTCTTCCCAATCCTCCCAGCAACCAGTGTTAAACGGGGGAGAGACCAAAGCCCCATAGATACTGTTAGCAGTATAAATTCCCAGATCAGGGAGCTGAAGCCATCTTGAGGGGCCGCGGTGACAGGGCTGCTGGTGATGGCTTGCGCATTGTATACGTTACATGCCCTCTGAGATTTGCAGTGGCTCCCAGGGATGGCAGAGGGAGAGCTGAATTAAATGGTCTTTTGTCCTCGCGGGTGGGATTTCTCCGGCTGCTGGCCGTGTCCTAATCCACCATTTCGGGTGCCTTGCAAGCTGTGGGGAGGGTTGAATGTAAGTGTTTGGGGACTGCCATGCCCTAGTACTGGAAAGTGGCGGGGGGGGGGGCGGATTCTTAATGAGATACAGGAGGAAGAGGCCTTCGTGCTAAGGAATCCCCCCACCCCATGATGCCTGCAGTTCTCTGAATGTGGCTTTTGTACCTTGTCAGCCGTGCTTCCGAACGTGCTTGCCTGCTCGCTGAGTGCTTGCAAAACAGCAGATGGGCTGGAGGTTGGGAAGGGAGTGGTGCCTCGGCTGGAAGGTGGGGACGGAAAGGCTTCTGCCTTCTCTCTCTCTGAGAGATGCGGCTCCAGAAGGTGCCTCCTCGGCTCATGCCTGGGCATCCGTTTTTCCCATCCTTCGGAGGGGTGTTTCCCGAGGGTTCTTGGGGCTCCGATTTTCACGCTATAGGACGAGGCTTCCGTTGCTCAAGCAAGCGATCCAGGCGAAGCAGGGCGTTGGCTTTTTCCAAGCGGAGACCCTGCCTCCATTCTCTCCCGCAGTGGCCTCGCAATGTATGGTTGTCTGCTCTCATTCTTTCAGCCTTCGTAGGGAAAAGTCCCTTGTAACCTCCCATTTTTGGGGGAAGTTTAGAAGTGGGGGGGGGGGTGCCTAGTAGGTTGTCCTAGAAGACAGCACCTGTGCCAGATATTTGCTTTTCATGATGCCTTTTGGCAACTGGAGCGGGGGCAGGGAGGACCAGGCAAAGCAGTGACTATTTAAAATACGTCCCCATCCATTTCTCTCCCTCCCCCTTTCCAATTGGCTGTGAAGCAGGCAGGTCCTTGTCTTTTCAGCCTCCCTTGGAGGCAGGAGAGAGACCTCCTTCCATGCACAAAAAACCTGCACTGCAGATGCCTCCGGAAGGGTGAAGAACATGGGCCAGGGGTGCTGCCTTAAAGGGGCCAAGCCCAGCGACCCTCACGGCCTGACAATAGTCTTGTTTTATCCTGCCCCGCAGCTTGAGTGATAAACTGACTTTTCAGAAGCTGCCGTGGCCTTTGTTTCTGAATTCCTGACCACGCGCCTTCCCTTGCTTGGGCATATTGGTAGCGTCTGGTATGCAGCAGTTCCTTGCGCCAGTGATTCAGGCAAGATACCGCTTTCGGGAACTCTGGGGCCTTTGGTGTATTTTTATATCTCCCACCTGCCCTGCATCGCTGGATATTCCAGGATGTGGGTGAAATAAGTGGGCCTCGTTGCGGGAGACCTGCCTTGGGTTTCCAGAGTCAAGACCCAGCAGGAGTGAAGGAGCAACCCTTTGCCTTCTGGCTGGCCCAGTGTGTTCCCATGCGGGATGTACGACCAAATGCCAGCCAGGGAGGGGGTGTGGCCTTGTGCCAGCCAGGTTACGTCCTGCTTTGTCTGTAACCCCGTCCTCTTGCCCTGTCAGGTCAGGGATGTGCTGCTTCTCCTGTGAAGCCAAGCCAGTCTCCTCAGGAATTGAACCACTTCCCCGCCAGTCCTCCAGACCCACCCGGGCTTCACTCCCAGCTGTGCAGATCTAGCCAGTCTCCTCCCGGACTGGGGCGCTGCAGATGCACCGGCCTGCAATTCCCAGCGTCTCCCAGGCAGCCCACCCCTAACCAGAGGATGATGGGAGTTGCCGGCCAGTGCGTCTGGAGGGCCCCACGTAGCAGTAGGCGGGGGGACCCTTGGTTTTCAGGGTCACTTGACTCAACGTGGGGCTGGGGGTGTGCTCAGACACAGCAGCCGCCTTGTGGCACTGTCTGCCCGCTCTGCAAGTGGCCAGTTCAAAACCGTGAAGAAGGATCTCCCCACGGGCGCATTTCCACTTTTGGTCCCCCTCATGGGTAAGTGTAGCAGCAGAGCCTCCCCCCACCTGGCCCCCACGAGGGAAGCATTGATCCCTTCAGTTCCCACCAGGCAACTTCCAGCCACTCAAATTCTCATCCTAACCTACCCCTCAGGCTTGTTGTGAGGATAACGCGGGGGGGGGGGGTCATAAAAGCTGCTTCAGGTAACTTTTTGCCTTGGCCTTAGCAAAACCAAAGTAGAAGTAGAGTCAGATTGTTCCTGGACAAAACCAGAACATTTTCAAAAGAGGAAAATGAAGCACTTGCTGGAGAAAGTGTGAAACAGGAATGGAGACCATGTGGCTTTCCAGAGTGTCATTGTACCAAAGCTCTGGCCATCTCCTTGTCTCTGCTGGCTAGAAGTGATGGAAGACACAGAACTACCAGTTGGCCCAGGTTGTGTCACCCCAAGTCATTGTTTTGGGGAGACTGGTTTATAGGGATTGGCTGCATCCGGTCTCGTTCCTTCTGCTGATGGGGATGGCTGAATGAGCCAAGGATCCTTGTTTGTGCTTGGTTTATCATGGGATAAACAGTAAATCTGAGCTTCCGACTATCCTGTCTGGCAATGGCAAACTATAATTCCTGGCTCTGACATCATGATACACAAAATGTGGGCAGAGGCCCTGTGGCTTGTGATTCCACTGCATGTTCCTCAAACCCCGGCTTACCATTGTGCCTGGACGTGGCCAGGATGTCGAGTAGAAAACCTTTTGTTCAGAGGGCCGCCTCAGGGCTAGACAATGCTTATGTTCAGCCTATTGAATATTAATCAGAGTCTTTGCATCTTTAAAATTTGTTATCCATCCTGCCAGGTAGAACCGTTCGTCTTCACATTACAGAATGGTCTTGATGTGCTGTACAGAAGGAGGTGTGTGCTGCTATTCCTGTACTTACTCTGAAACTCATTAGCTATTTAACGATGCTTTTGCCTCTGGACGTGGAAGTGGCCCAAAAGCGTCTGGGACTGAGCGGCTGAGAAGCGCGGCTGCTGACTCAGTGTCGGGATTCAGCTCCTCTCCCTAAAAATAGGGTAACAGGGGCCTACCTTGCAGCAGGTAGGAGAGCCTCTCTCATTTCCCAAATGTAATTAATTGTGACTAGA